AAAGTATTATGTTTCATGATAAATAAAATGAATTGTATGAACGTTCAGAATATGTGTTAAGATATATGTTAAAATTGTGATAACTGTTTAATAATTTCTTTTACATGTTATATTTTCTTCGATTGATATATTTTCTTTTGTTTGTTTGTGTGCGTGCGTGCGTGTGTACGTGCGTGTTTTTGATTTTGTTTCTTTTTTAATGTAGAAAGGATCATTGCAAATAAGGTGTAAATTCTGTATAATTTATGTCTTAATGTGTTACCGTCTGAAAATAAAGTTATTATTATTATTATTATTACAGTCGTATAATTGTGTCTTAACCAGCGCCATTGTCCGGTATTTTCACGTTTTTGTTTCTTTCTTAGAAAAGTATGTGGTAGAGATGTTATTTTCTTTTAGCTTGGCTAAATCGGATGTGTTACATAATCGGATTAGAAAATTTCCATTTCCTGACAGTAATTCCATTTTATGATTGATGTGTCACACGAATAGTTTCCAAATATAAATATAATCTTTGTCACAACATACGGATCATTTAACAAACATTGTAGATTCCAGTTGAGTTATGTAATGTTTTAGACAAAATATTTCTTAAACTTTAATGATAATTAACAGTGTTGGTTTATATACAGAATTTATTTTAGTTCGATTGTGTAGGAAGCTATAAGCTTATAGACACACTTTCGAATCCGTTCCTGGAACCAACCAGTACTGAGCAATGTGTGTAAAGTTTCTTGCTCAAGGAAACAACGACTTGCCCCTGACGGGGTTTGAACTCATGCGGCTAGCGATCATTAGATTACTAGCCCGACGCGTTAACCACTCGGCCATGCCGCCACACATATGGTGTTGTTTCACGAAGATTGCTGGATATAATTATGATGCTAGTAATGTTAACGAAAGCGTGTTAAATTTATGAAGTAGAAGTACGAATCTTGAAGTTTAAATTGTAAACTCATAAGGTTGAAATAGTTTTTTTCCAGTTGAAAACGTGAATTCAATATATTGGAGATCATGAATTCATGATGTTAAAGTCGTAAGATTCATAATATTGACATCTAGATTACAATATTTTGAAATTGCGAATTCATGAAGTCTGGATTGTAAATTCTTGAATTCATGAGAATGTCCTAATATGTATTTCATACTTTCCGGTTTGCTTGTAGTTCCAGTTAAGCACATTTTAAAATTGTACCTCATTATACAGTCGACTCTCGTTATCTCGAAGTCATCGGGACCGTCCAAAAAATATCGAGATAACGAAATGTCGAGATAAACATAGTAGGGTTTGAATAAGGCAGAAACTGATTTTTACAAAAGACATGTGCATACACTTTATGTCAAATAAACTATGATATCCCCATGTCTTGTTTTCATAGGCCTAGTCAATATTTAACAAAGTAACATTAGCGGATGTTTACCAGCGGAAATACGGGTTTCTGTGATAAAAACACATAGTGAGGTTTACTCAGTAATACACCAATATGGTGAAAACATTGTTTTCAGGGTGGTTAATCCGGATATCCTCCCAGATTTGTTATCGGGTTTTTCTCGAGATTGTTCGACCGCTGATTGATTCGGTCGTGATGTTGTCAAATAATATTGCAACGATAGCGTTTATTTCATTTACATTTAAAGTCATAAAGAAATGATACAGTGTTCGAATATTTATAAAGAACGTAAAATCCACTCATTTTGGACATAAGTCAATCGCTAAATAGATTAACTTTTATAAAAACAGCTAAACTTGTTACAAACATAATCATCATTATGACACGCGCTATTGGGCAATTATCGTTTAGTTTGTGTTTTCACACGTCTGAATGAAACAGACGAAAGAAAACTATTAGTCGAGATAAACAAAGAATTATAGTGTGAAAATAACTGTTGGGGCTGAAATTTTACATCGAGATACTGAAAATATCGAAATAAAAATATCGAGATAAACAAAAATTTCCAATATAGATAAAAAAAGGAAGAAAATCGGGACTTTCAAAATTTCATCGAGATAACGAAATATCGAGAAAAGCGATGTCGAGATAACGATAGTTGACTGTACATTTATGTAACAGTGTCTTTGTGGGACCTCACTTTAACGGACAAACCTGCCCTAAATACATTGAAAAATAACACAATTTACTTCCAAACTATCAACATTTAAAAGGTATTTTATTTAATTTAAGTGAATTAACCCATTATGGAAGGTCTGTTATATCAAATTATTATGTTGACGGTACTTTACACCAAATATTAATTATTAAGAAAGCGCCGTATTCAAAAGATCCGAATGCGACTTTTCTATCATGTCACGTGAACAAATTCAATGACACCGAGTCTGCAATTTTCATATTACATAATAATTTTCATTGCTTGCGAGAGATCACTATTTCTCCAGTTTCGTTTTTGAAAAAAAAAATACAAACGGTGCACTTGTGAATTTTGGTTCTAACATTAATTAATCAAATTTGTGAAATCAATTTGTTCAATTGGTTTTCATCAGGACTTCATTCTTTGTATGCCTTGTGTGTTTGTAAGTTTTCTTGATAAATTAATCGTATCCGCATGTCTTACATACGAGACTGCAACATTTTTCATTTTACAGTTTGGGCGTTCTTTAGATATTCTGTTTTTGTCACATCAGTGTTAATTGTGCCGTGTGGCGGCTGTTTAATGTCCCCCGTTTATATAATCAAGGAAGTTATTTTTTTCGATCCTTGATGATCGTTCATCACGACGTGCATGTTTGTGGTACTTTTAGCCACTTCTATTTGATTCTTTTGTAGTTGGATGGTTCAAGTATTCCAACTTGAATACTGTACAATTACCCACAAGGATATGTTTCCTTTTTAAATTTTATCTTTGATATGCAGGCTAGATTTTCAAAATACCATTTTATATAGATGTAGTTCCGCTAATTGTTTTCACACGCATTATTATCTTTACTTGGGGGCCGTACTCCGCTTTTCATAGAATGAAACAAACGTGTCACATTGAAGGTCCCATGATAAAAACCATATGGACACATCTGTAGATGATTTAAGATTGCAAATTTAGCCATTTAAATGTTCAAATGTTGAGTTCTGCTTAAGCCGGTGCTAGGGAACATAGACGTTAACTTGTACTTTCATGTACCGTCCAAAAGGATAGGCGCAATCAAACATAGCTTGCAACATTTTCAATTTTGCCGTTTAAGTCGTTTTTTTAGGGATTCTGTTTTCTATTTTAGGTCTTGAGTCTTGAGAGAAATAAAAATATTTTACATTATACGTGTTATGTTATAAGCAGAGAATTTTGAGCATATTGAGATTATCATAATCAGCAACAACAACAACACCAAAACCTACCACAACAACAAGTAAAACAACAAAAGCAACATAAACAACAGCGTATTTGTCGTCATAAATTGTATTGTTCTGTTATTTTAATTTTGTATTTGATATATTTTAGATTGCAAAATGGACACGATTCGCGATCTTCTAAGGATAGCAAATCATGATGATGATGAAACGGTCCTGTAAACCCTTTACTGCAGCTGTTTTAGTTTTACGGAGTCAGTTTTATCCGCATTAAGCATAACAAGCTTGTCGACATAACAAAATGGTATACTAAATAATTGACATTAAAATAAAGCCATAAAATTTACTTAAGTGTATTGTATTAGCTGAGATTTATTTCGCGTGTATTATAAAAAGGAATAATGCTTAAAATTCTGCACATATGTATTTGATTAATTCTATAAAACCTGCAGCAGATGGTGTAGATAGAACCTTTATCTTGGAAGAATTTTATATATTTTATCATAACGTGTTTCAGCTTTGTAAGTTACTTTGCATTATATTTTGTTAAATTTGATATTGTTATAAATCATACTTGAATTTAAAAGGTTTGGATCAAAAGTATTTGATTTAAAATAAACGTTATATAAACATTTACAATAAAGAGGAATTCGTCTTGCACCTCGTTTAAATTGTCTGATTCATAATTATTTTTTGGATTATTTCATTGAAAGTTATCAATTTATTCATACGTTATCATTTTGTTAGTTGCAATTTGAAAAGTTATTTGAGTATATTACATTAATATGTATGCTTTTTAACCTCCGTAATTTAATAACCAATTTTTTAAATTTCAATGTTGTTTTAAGACCAATCGTATCATAATTATTTTTTTCAATCTCTGACAAAATCACAAGCATAATAATGATTTAATGCAAATTGTATTTTCATATGATGTCAAGTATAAATGATGAATGTCTGAAATACATAGAGGATATTTGTTTGTTTTGCATGTAAGATTGAAATTTAATTTCACTGAGTGAACACCAGATGCAATATTTTCACGAGTGGCGTAGCCACGAGTGAAAATATAATAGCTGGTGTTCACGAATGAAATATATTTCAATCTTATATGTAAAACAAATAATTTTTCTTTTTATTTTATGCTTTTTCAGCGATTTTAAGTAATTTTTTACTGATTTTGCCGCGAAACGTCACGCATTCTCCTTTGTGACGTCATATATATCATGACGTACATCATCAGTTTTGAAATCTAGTTCCGTTGAATTTCTCTAATTTTGTTAAATTTCTAACATGATCTATGATGACATTGACTTTCTTTTCCTAAAGAAGCAAAATTTACGTATGACGGCATTTATTTCTGCCTGTTATTCCATTTAGTTATGATTTTAGGTTCATCCGCATTCAGATATAGTCCGGCTACAGTGAAAATTATATTTTATAAATTTCACTAGTGGTTTATCAGAATATAATCATCTGATATATTACAATAAAACACTGGAAAGCATGAAATAAGTATATATCGTATAAGATATCAAGTACATAATTTCAGTGTGATGCGTCAAGTTATAAAGATGGCTTATGCATATTACACTTTTTGAGTAAGGGTAGTAAGATGATATTTAATTGTTTTTGATATTCCCAATTTCATCACGCACGTATTATTTAACAGTCAATGTTTAAAGCATTTATTAACACATTTGTATTCCAGATAACTCGGATTAAATGGCATAAAGATGTTGTTACAAGCGTCTTTTCTGCTGTTCTTTCTGTCAGCCGCAACAGGGTGTGTATATTTTAAACATACTATTTGTCCTCGCAAATTGTTTATCTTAACTTAATCATAATTTAATCGGGAAAATATCTCAATAGTGTATCATAGTGTCGACTATTAGCTTCTATAGAAAACGTGTCAGAGTTAAATTGTATACACATGCGTTAACTGGATTACTTGAATTAATTACTGCATTGTATGTCTGGGACAAGAATAGAACATGCTCGCTGATTGCCTCAATTTGTGGGGGTTTATTTTATATTATGACGCCAGGAGAATGGATAAAGGTAGAAAGATTGTATTCAGATGCTCGCTCATTGGTTACTATTTCCGGGGTTTCTGATTGTGACGACAAGGAACGTGTTTTCATCTTTGTCTATGATATAGTAAGGTTTTTGTAGATTTTTGTAGATTTGTTTGCTCTTACGAGGGTTGTTAAAAAGGAAGTAGACGGTATTTTTGATAAAAATGTTACATAAAAACCTAATACTGAAATCTAAAGGCCTAATAGAAGTGTTATCATTTTCATAGGACGTATGTTGCTTACTTTCCAAACCTGTTGATTCCTGGTATTCCGCTGAAAACGCGAGTACTTGTTCAAAGCAGAAGTTTGAGGGTTCCAGTAAAAGTCAGTCTGACGTTTGCAGGGAACGACACATTGATTGCTAGAGGTTTTGCGTATGCAAGGACAGGTAAGCTGATAAATTGTGTTTGTATGGAAGATATAAAACGATAAGTTATTAATAAATAATATATTATGGAGAAGAGATACATCATGCAGTGTATGATGCATAATAAAATTATAAAAAAGGCAAGTAATGCAAATGATTTAGTGAAGGGACAGAAAAGGTATATAATGGCGTAACTTCATTGCTTATTGTTTTATTACAATATTAACATATTTTCCCTTTTATCTTATCTGCATAAACAATAAAGTCATCAATCAGAATATGAAGTCCTTTAATCAAATTGTCGACACCTTATTGATGTAGAAAAGCTCTTGTAAATTATCTGTCCTTTATTCCAGGAGAGTATACAACTATTATTGTGAAGGTAAGATATGATCAATTGTAGTTACTTCAAATAAATAGAATACGTTAATCGCATTGAACAATTATGCATGTCACTGCATGTTCATTTGAATAATGAAGGAACTCTACTGCATTTGTCTGACATGATGGAACTAGCAATACTATTTCAAGATTAATGTTCCATTTGATGTAACACTATTAAGTGTTGAGAATTGAGTACCGACTCAAGTCTGTGCTAGGGGGCGCTAGTGATGTTGCACGTATTCATTATCCCTCATGTACAGACTCATGTACAGCCGTTGCTAGGGGGCGTGGACGGTAGTTTGCACTTGACAGTACCGTCCATGAACAGGCTCAATCAAACCGAGCCTGCAACATTTTCAATTATGTTGTGTTGGACTTTCTTTAGGGATTCTTATTTTCTCTATTCTATCACTCAAACCGAGTCTGCAATTTTCATGTAATTATGTTATTATTAATGCTTCCGAGGGATCACCTTGCTTCCAGATTTTTGACCAATAACAGATCATTCTCCCACTTAACCTTTCCATATAATTATAGTTATTGTGGAAAATTACCCAAAACTGAACACTATTCAATCTTATCAGACTAAAAATAGCACACACATACGATTTTCAATTCACTTTTAAGTGTATTTCTTAATTATCTTAAATATTGTTCTGTTTTTAGTGTCGAGCAGATCTATGTTTGAAATCAAATTTTATATGTTTAGAGTTTTCGACCTCAACTAAAATAGTCTTAATAATCTTTTTCTCTGCAGGATTTTATCTCATATAATGTTGGAATAATATGTAATTCTTTTATAATTTTTTGTAATAAATGAAGATGTAACTTTAAAATTATGTATATCATTTGATCTTGCTATTGTAATATTTAGCAATATGAGGGACACAAATGGTTGCTCTCTATATGATTGATAACAGTTTGTTTCGTTCTTAATTAAGGTTCCAAGTACCTTACTTCCGTCGAATTATAGAGTACATATAACGGGGTCTAATGGACATAAGTTTTCAAACAGTACAAGTATCCTCTATGATGACAGATGTTTGATGGTGTTTATACAGACTGATAAAGTTCGGTATTCGGCAGGTCAGACAGGTAGTTATGTTTCATGTTGCACTTATCTGATATGTCTCTTTATCTATGTATCCCAAAAAGTATTCTTAAGTCTTTATAGCTGTAAGACTCCAGATGAGTTAAGCTATTTTAAAAAAGAGAAATAAAATATACTTGAAAAAAGTGCATGTACTTATATTTTAAGAAATGTAAAAAGATTCAAGATTCAAGTAAAAATTTACATATACATTTAAAAACTTTATTTTAAATTTTAAAGGATTTTTTTTGGCATATTCTTACCGAGTTTTGGTAATTTTCTTAGATTTCAAGTGCTGTTTGAAGTTTACTTGACAGTATTTTTAATGCATTTTAAACATATTCATGAAAATAGGCACAAATCTGGAGGCATGCTGCTTTAAAAATAAAATAAGTTCTGAAAAATACCATAAACGTAATATAGGTCTATAGTATTTAATTGTTTTGTTACATTAAAAAGCTTTACTACTGTGATTTTATATTAATTCTAAAAAATTCGTCGCTACATGTTTATACATTTTTGAATTGGTTCCTTTTCTAGGCCGACAAACTTTATAGCAGTCAGTATTTTCTTTGTTATTGCAATAAAATTTAGTTAGAATTGCTTTTCGTATCCTGCAGTAAAATATCGGGCTGTATTTCTTCTACCGAATCTTCTCGACTTCCAAGGATACGCAACTATTGTAATTGAGGTAAATATTACCAATAAAAGTATATTTAAACATTTTAAGTGATCAATTTCACAAGAACAGTTTGAGCGAGTATTGCGTCCGTGGCCGAGTGATGAACATTTTTCTCTTTAAACCTCTTACCCTTCACCGCTGTAGGTTTGAATCCATTGAGATCTTCGATTCGTTCATGTGATGAAGCTCTTCAAGGAACAACGGAAGTTTCATGTCCGTGTGTGCCTGCCTGAAATAATGCACAGGCAGAGAAAGCTGGAAAGTCGCCATTAAACTATAGTGTGCTAGTGTGACATAAAAACACAACCAAAATATCATACATATTTGATAAGATCATGTGGAATTGATTCTAATAAGAGAGAAATCATTATAACAAATGTATATTGTGCATGTACGGGTGAGTAAGATGTGACCAGCACTGTTGCAATGAACCCTGTGTTATATTCTCATTGACAATTATATAGCAATAATTTTTTGAAAATGAAACTAATTCGTCAATAATACGAATAATAATAATAATAATAATAATAATAATAATAATAATAATAATAATATTCTATAATAAATCTATATCGTATCTAGGATGGAGGAGGAAATAAAATTGAGGCTCTTGGACCAGATATTGTTAAGAATGGAGTTATATCTGGAGATATAGAGCTAAGTAGATATCCCGTGTTTGGCACGTGGAAAATAGTCATCGAAGCAATGGTATGCACCTTCTTTTCTTTTCTTAAGAATGTAGTTTAAGCAGCATGCCTTCAGATTCATGTTAATATACATGACAATTGCTATATTTCGTTTTAAGTAATATATTGAGACGTGAACAAAGAAAGTAATTTAAGAGGTCAAAATATGCAAAAATTACCCTTACTGAATTAGTCCCGCAGGATTAATATTCTGATTAATACTGCAAAATCAGTCATTAATCGCACATAACATGTAAATCATTACTTCAATCTTTTCACTTTTCTCTAAATTGTAGTACATTTTTCTCAAGTCTGATTTTTGAAAAAAATAATTTAGCTCATCTGGTGGCATGCAGGTGTAAGGTTTGTGATATAAACATTCGGTGATCATTTTGTCCTTAATAATAATCACACTTTATCTGATAAATAATGGCAATTAATCAAGTTAAGTTTTGAAATAAATATAAATATTTCTTATGAAAAAACATGCTATAAAATACTAGCAAGTCCAAAGATTAAGTTGGGTTTTAGTTATCTCATGTTTTAGACTCCTTGTTTGAGAGTTTTGTTATTGTACATTGTTTCGACGAATAATAAAACATTTTCAACGGAAAATAAAAAAGAACAGTTAACATTGTTTCACAGAAAATTCTTTTTTTCCAGAGTAAACTAAAAGTGAAATAACTTCATATTTCAGGGGAGAAAGCACATACAATCGTTCGAAGTCAATGAATACGGTATGTGATTACTTAAACTTATTTTATATAATACGAAAGTTAAAAAGCTATTTCATGTCTTATATTTGATTTGTATTGTTCATACAGCTGAAGACTAGTTCGACGCAAATTAAAGACGCTGTCTTACTTTATAATAGATTTGTACCGTTTATAAATCTTAAGCGTATTGTAGTGCAAATAAACGCATTTTAATATGTTAGAAACTATAGTTATGTTAGCCGATATACTAATCATTTTAACATTGTGTTTAGGGTTCTGTCCCTTTCCCCTGTGCCCTTTGACTTTGTGGCCTATTATTCAATCATTTATTTGTTTTTTTTTAATTCCTTATCAGTTACAAATTATTTATAATTTTAGTGATTAACCTGTCCGTGCTCTGTCTTGTGCCCTATCTTGTTTCTGTTTGGGGTCCGCCTGGGCTCCTTGCCACTGATTCTTGTATCTGGGTCGTATGGGGGTTGCGTTCATTGAACGCCGCCTTTCTTTGTTGATCTTGTTTATCATATTGTAACATCACATCATCATATGTAAATATCAACCTTATTTTTTGCGCGATAAAAGTGATGACACTTCCCAACCAACCAAGCTAAAATAACATTCGTGCGAGAGAGCAGAATTAAACATATCGATGTCTTTTGATATATATCTGCATATTTATCCTAAGTGGGCGAGTCAATAAATAACCAGCCTAGCCTATTTCGGGTTGAGATCTACCTCTTCTTTGTCAATATAATTTCCCTCCAGGGCTATGCACTTGGACCAACGGTGTTAAAGTGTAACCAGCTCAGAAGTGAAGAAATCATTGATCTTTCCATGGAAACACTATTCAACTGCCGTCACGACTTCTTCGTCCGACTGGAAACGACGTCAACGTATATCCTTTTTCAAATTTGGAAAAAGGAAGAAGTCGCTAGGAGCCAGGTCTGGTGAGTAGGCAGGGTGCGGTATTAATTCATACCCATTTCGCCTCAAAGCATCTATTGTAGCTTTACAAGTGTGGACTCTTGCATTGTCCTGTTGCAGCAGTACAGCTTTGGAGAGTTTACCACGGCGTTTCTCGCGGATAGCGTTCCACAGCTGGTCTAGCAAGTTGACATAGCATGCTCCGCTTATTGTACTTCTTTTGGGTAAAATGTCCAACAAAATAACGCCCTTCGTGCCCCAAAATACTGCGGCCATCACTTTGCCAGCAGATGGTTGAGTTATGACCTTCTCTGGCCTTTGGGATCCCGGCCCTACCCACTGACAACTCTGGGATTTATTTTCTTGTTCATAAAAATGCACCCAAGTCTCATTCACAGTGACTAGACGCAAACGGAATTCATCTTTTGACCTCAAACGCTTCAACAAACTACTGCATACTGCTGCCATTTGTTCCTTGCGCATCCATAATCGATCATGCAAAATTGTTGAAACGCTACCATGAGAAATGCCTAATGCCTGTGTTATTTCTTCAACCTGAATTTGCCTGTGACATCCACTGGGCGTTCAGACCTGGCTTCATATTCTAAAGACGTTCTACCGTGTTTAAACTCCCCAACCCAGAATTAAACTTGCAGACTACCCAAACACATCAACTTATTCGACATGTATGCCCTTACCAGTTTTACCCTTTCAGTGCAAGTACCGAATTACAGCACGGTACTCCACTTTTGATGAAATATGCACAGCACTCCACATTTGATGAAATATGATAAACAAGATCAACAAAGGCGGTGTTCAATTAACGCAACCCTCACACGATCCAGCAACAAGAACCACAGGCAAAGTCCCTAGGAGAAACCCAAACAAAAAGCTTGCGTCTACATCACTAGCCATGTTAAACATTCAATATCTGACAAACAAATGATCGAATGCATGTGTAGATTTGTACCCAGGTAAAGTTTATGTACTGAAACAATGCGTGAAAATCGTGGATGTCTCGGTTGATTAGGCTTGTTATTTATTGACTGGCCCTCGTACATTGTCAAGTGGAAGCTGAATCATGATATTTGCAATCGGCTTGCCGCAATTTTAAAAGTAACGAAATCGTAAAGAGGATATTGATACAATGTAGGCTAAGCATCTTGCCTCTTATTGCAATATTTATTGAATATAATTAATAAGAATGAATCCTTACAAATTAAATATTCAATTTATATCATACTTAAATTTAAACAATTTACAGTCAATGCTAAATGAACTATTTATTTTGGACGCGATTTTATCGTGACGCTAGTGTACAGGGCTTCTTAATGATCAATCTCCACACAGTGATCTCCCCTTAATTCTTCGGCGTAGATCTCTGCCACCATGATCCCAATATATCAGAATTTCTGATATACTATATTTTTTCAAAAATTGTTTTATCTACTGCTTTTATCTATCAGATAAGTTTTCTCTCATTTATTTAACAATGTTTATGAATAAATAAATAAATAATATGAATATTTAGAAATAATTTCAAAAATTATGAGATTATTTTCTACCGAGACGATATTTTGATATTTTATATTTTTTAGCTTTTGAATTTATTTTTCGTTATTTTGTAAACTTTCGATAATTTTTTGATAAACTATATCGAACGTAGGCTCTAAAAGTTAAAAATAAAACAGAAAGAGAAAAATAACGTTAGATTTTCTTTGTAACGGTCGATATTTACATTTGAATTTCGACGTTACGTCATGTGACTTTCATCATCATGTGACGTCTTTGAAGGCAGTGATTACAATTCTGCCAAGGGAGGTAATCACTGTGAGGAGTTTGCTTAATGATATGTATGTATAACGCTCATTACATCCCGTCACGATATACCGGTATGTACCTTAATCACATGACTTAAATCGCTGAAATATTATTGTGAATTAACCTTTGAAACTGTCGAATTAAAATTATCATTATATCATTCCTCTGAACCGTTTAATGACAGATGAATGGCACAAAGCTTTTTAACATTAACGAATGAATATTTCGGCCAAAAAATACACATTATAGTAAGTACAATGTACTCGATTACTGCAAACACTTATTAAACGTTTGAACGTGCAAACAAGTTAAAATTGATTTCTTTCACAAATTGTTGGTCATACTTTGTCCTACTGAAGAGCAAATGACGTTAGTTTGGTACAAGACAAGTGGGATGAAGTAATATTCATTGCAGTGATAAAATTGTGTATAATCAACATATTAACTGAAATTGTACAGCTGTATTATCCATCAATATCAGACGTTATATTTTCACTCGCGGCTATGCTACCATTGAACATAACATTAAGTATCCACCTGGTCGGTGAATCAAATGTGACCCAACATTGATACAATTATTCACACAAATAAACAATTTAGTTTGAGCTGAATATTTTTCTTGGTTTACTCGTTACAGTCTTGCCGAGATTTACTGTTGAGCTTACAATGCCCTCTGAAGTAAAACCAACAAAACCGTTTTTTACAATTGGCGTCACTGCAAGGTATACTTCTTTGATTTAAATCTCTGACAAGTTATAAGTAATTTTAATGTTTAGTATATTCAGACAACATTGAGTCCAAAACCCTCTTGCGTTTTTCGGTAATAATTTCCTAGGTAACGCTGTTTCTTATCACTTTATTTCCAATTGTTAAAAGTGACACAATGTCATTTCAAGTGAAAATGGTGAAGTACAGGTCAAAGTTAAAATAGCTGTAGATATTGCCATTAGTGTATAGCTAGTAACCCACGAGACTCAAATAAAATTCTATAAATATCCATCGGAATATAACGTTATCATTCAATTGATAACAGGAGTGGGGGAGTCATTTTTTTCCATTAGGAAGTTGTTACATTTTATCTGAAACATTTTCCATGGTCAATTTTTCGTCAATGACTAGAAAGTCGATTCAGGTCAGCTCGACGAAGAAATGAGGAGTATAATATCATTTTAAGTATTTGCTCTACAGCAAACAGTTACTTTTCTCCCTCTGACATTTCGGCTTAATTTTTACTGATACCTGTATACCTCAACCCGAATTCGCGTAAAATATGCACTGTATCAATATGTTTCGTGATAATCCGTAGGTTGCTTTCATTGTATATTGTTTCAGTATTGTTTATATTTTTGCTTTCATGTACATTCTTTGTATTGCGAAAATATAACTTCGAGGAAACTAACTTGCATTTTCAGGTTCACATTTCAGACGGATGTCAAGGGTGATTGCGTTCTTTTAATATATAATGAAGATAAGACGTCAAATAACTTTAAGATTTTAAAACAGGTACAATCTTCTTCATGTGTGACCAATTATAATTTTACTCATTTCGTATCGTTGTAAGCTTTGACATTTTGATATTTTATTTAAGTTTTTTTTTTACATATCATGAAACAATAAAGTAAGTATTTGTTAAGCTTTTTTGTATGAACAAGACACATGGCACTGCCACGAAAGCAGGGTTTAAATTGTCACCATTGAGTTTTATTTCGAGTTGAAATAAAATACAAGCAATGCACAATGTAGCTATGTGTAAGAAACAAAAGAAAAAAAGAAATAAGCAAGCATTTTGTTCTTGCTGTAGATGGGGAAAAAGTGAAGAACACACCAAAATGTTTTAAATACCTCACTTCTAACTCTATTTATCAATCTGAAACCATTTTTTTTATTTTTATTAATAATGACATTGACTTTGATCCAACCTGACTCAAAACAATCCAAATAGAGGGTTTCAAATGGGAATGCTATACAACAAGTTATATTAAAGTCTCATTAATGAATCTTGTCATTGACCAGAAAGCAATTTTCTAGTAATAAGCAATTCTAAGCAAGATCATAACATAAGCTTGCTACACACCAAGTTTATTTGCATTCAGTTACAATCATCAGTAAAACATTACCACATTTATACACAGCTTATTGTGCTTCTCTGAAGTACTTGATACACAAGAAACTAAGGTAGCATAAAGCCCCATTCTGTCCAAGAAATTTTTTATTCTATTTTTTCAAAAGCTTTTTTTTTGATATCTGGTTATATTTTCCAAAGAAATAATCATTGGCCAATAACTTTAGCCATTTTGTCCTTTTGTATGGAAGTAAAAACTACTTTGTTAACATTTTGCTACTTTTTTATGACTGAAAAGGTCATATTCAGCACTTCTTTCATTAGGTGATATGCATCAAACATGCTCTTAAAACATAACCTAAATATTATAAAACTCTAATTTGCCCTTAATACAGAAAGAAATATTTATCCGTTTCTGAGACATAACGCGCCTTTTATTTATCGGATTTGTTTTTAATAAATTGTTTAAAATACATGTTGTTTTAATTAACATACTTAGCTACTATTATTAGATTGACGGGTCAGTGGAGTTTAATGTCGATATGTCAGTGCTTACCAGCAAACTTGATATAACCTCCAACATAAAGGTCAGAGCTATGGTTATCGACAATTCTACAGCATTAACAATGGTAGCCGAACGTAAACTGAATATTGCTTCAAATGAACCAAAGCCAGTAACTCTTACAAAGATCGATCCGTATAAAAACAGCTATATACCTGGAATGACATATCGTACAAAGGTAAATGGCTTTTTAGTTATAAACAAAGTTTTGGATTACATACAAAAGAGAAAAGCTAATCACCAATGAACGTCAATGACGGCGAAATTGAAAATATTGCAGACTAAGTTTGATCGAGCCTGTTCGTAGATGAAACTTGCAAGTGCAAGCTATCGTCAAACCATCCGCTGGTCAAATCATGATAGAAACATGTGGTTTTATTGATATCATTTCTGATTCAAACATTATTTAATTAATTACACTTTATTTTCAAAACCATGTATATACTTTACAAAATAATAACGTAACTGTTCGACCTGTTTCAATGCACTTTTAAATACTTATACTTTCTTTGTTGTTGTCAGATTTTTGTAGGAAGAAATGGTAAATCACTCGGTCAGAGCGGCACGTTGAAAGTGACGCCAACGGTTACCACGGCAATATTGGAGCTCTGTACTAAAGCAAATCCCCCGTACAAATGGGTTAATGTACAAACGGAAATCAGGCGACCATTTACAATTCATTTTGACTCGTCGGGATATGCTGATTGGACATATGATGATAACACTAAAAACGTAGAAAAGATATCGTTTAGTGTAAGTTGATTATACCATAATGCCAAATAATTGTTGTGACTTGTTTCTCAAAAGCTTTGTATTTATGGTAACCTGTTACAGTTTCAAACTATACAAACGATGGCATTAAGTACTGTAATAGTGATTTAGTATTTTGTATGTAGTTCAAATACTAGTACTACTTTATTAAGATTGTACTGACTTTGTCACAAATAACTTCACATTCACCGATACTTTATTTCAATATTAAGCATCTAACATGCTATCATTTAAATTTCATAATACTTCCATCTACTTACTAATTCTTGTTCGCGCTTTCTAAAGAAGTAAAAATTCATTATACTATTAGGCATAATTTGCCTTTAATTTGGTATATATTTCCATGATTGCGTGTATTTGTTACTTTTATGAACTACAGACTAATGTTGTAAATAAAATCTTATGAAATACTGAAAAGAAAGGGATACATGTAAAGGCTTTAATAAAGATAAAGTTAAAACATAATCTGTATACTTTCTGACGGCATAGATTGTATATTTCCTGTCAAATAATATATACTTAACTTGGCATTTTTAATGATACGTTATATCCCTTTTAGTCGGTTTAGTTTTAAAATATCTTAAGACATTGTTTTTGTATTGTTCTTTATTCCAGGTTGTGTTTTTTGACCGAACAATTCAAAGTAAGCCTGTTACTTTAACATTTGTGATATACCCTTTACCAGACAACATTCCTTTTCTGCGAATGACAGTAAACAAGTTCAAAGTAAAGGTAAAAATTTACGTTGACAGCTTCACAAAATAATTTAACTTTTTTATACACTTATATTTAAGTAAACCTTCCACAGCTTATTTTATAAAATAATCTTTTCTTGAGTTCCATAAGGCACGTAAACTGTGTTATGAAATGGATCATATGTAATGTTTAAAAATAATTTTTAGTCTAGTTTGTATTAATTAAAGGTCGGACAAAGCATTCTTCTTGATGTAGCTGCAACAGAGAGTCTAAACGGATATTTGACGTTTGAGGTTTGTTTAGCTTCAATCTTAAGAGTTACATGCTAAGACATTCATTTAAGATTGTTACATTTATTTATAATATTATCAACAACACCAAATCATATGCAATTTATATATATATATATATTCACATAACGTTAATTTGAAAAAGTTAATTTGCTTTATACATACATAGGAAATACCAAACTGAAATGTGTTATGGTTAATGGTGCTTTAGTATCTTTAATAAAGATTATGTGTTTTTTTTTTAACGACAATATGTGTATTATATAATATATATTTTTAAACGTAAAATTGTTACAAAACAGGTGTATGCGAGAGGTATGAATCTTAAATCAGAATTGGTAGCTGTAAACGGTGGTTCTCAAATGACCCATACTATGACTGTTTCGAAGAATATGATTCCAAGAGCGTTCATCATAGTAAATCATTTGACACAAACAGGTCAGCTGATCGCCGACTATGTATATATAGAAGTTGAAGGAAATCCTTTTAGTAATGAGGTGAACTCCTTGTTCCATGTAATCTCAAAAATACTTATAATTTTACGCCAGATAGTCGCCACAATTTATTGTTCATATGATTATTTTAACGTATTGTATCATTAAAAAATTAAATAGTTTTACAGTTTTCTTGTTTAATCATAAACATGCATAAGTTATCGTCGTCATCATCATCATCATCATTATCATCATCATCATCATCACCACCACCATCATCATTATCGTCATCATCATATCCTCTATACAGACTGTAGTTGTCACTCTATAAAATTGTCCGTTTCAAGGTGCATTTGTCGTACAATTACACAACGCCACAGCCGGGAGATATTGTAAACATGCGTGTATCAGCTGACCCGCACTCTTCTGTCTATGTCTTGGGGGAGGATCTCCGAAACCGTGTATTCGGAACTGAAAACGACATTTTCTGGACAGATGTATGTTTGTTTTATTGTATTGTTAGTATTCAACACTTAAACACGTTTAAGATTTGCAGCATTACAAAATATATTTTTGATTTATTTAGAAAATATATAATTATGAGGGATAATCCAAACGGTTTGTCACTACGTTTACAACTCGTTTATAGTAATAGTGCAACAACCAAAATCAGTATACATGTGATATATACCATGTAAATTTGATGAACATGTACAAAAATGGATCACAAAAAATAAAAGATAAATACATAAAGAAAACTGGCGACCAGTGTCTCTCAAATACCGATAACAACGATATCTTACAGGTATCATAAGAATGATAACGTGACAAAATGGTGTCCAGCTACCTTAGCCTCATTACGCACTTCAGTAACACACTGTGGAAACGCTCCTCGTAAAGGGAGTCGTGATATACTGTTGCACTGGGTCAGTAGTTCAAACAAATGGCCCTTGAGTTCCTACTTTGACGTTTGCATGTGTTTTTGTTACTGATCTGGTTCTTGATCGATCATCGAAGAGTCGTCCTCTCGAAGGCGTTTATACCATCTAGAGACAAAGCGTCACGTTACAGATTTTTTCACTTTATCCTCAATTTATTGTGCATTGTATTTGATTGAAGCAAAACTGTTATTCCAAGCGTCGTGACTTTTGACATGCTCACAAAATATCAATAAATAAACCCGAGTCTAGCAAAAATCATTTTTCTATGTTCCGGTGCCAAATGAACTAAATTGTGTCGGTACGCCGTAAAACCAAACAAAATAAACACAAGAAATAAAGTCGTCACGTCGAGAACGTATCGACTGCTTTTACGGGGTTTTCTGAAAGTTACATACTAATAACATTTTAACTTGCACATTGGCATGCGGCGGTTACCTTTCTTACGATTGATAAAACGCCGTTAATAAAGAAAAGTATTATATAGTTTAACTATTAACATAATTAATTAATACAATGTATATCTGCAAGCATATATATATATAGTAAAATTAAAAACTGCCGTCAGGGTTTTATGCACACCAACAGTGACAAAGCTTGGATAATCACTCGTGTTATACATGCTCATTTTGAATATCATTTCTGAAACAGGTATCAAATGATATTCTTTATATTGTGTATTTCAATTATTGATGGATTTTATTTGAAGTTGTTTATAAAAACTATTACATGAAATCAAAATACGTTTATTATGTTATAGGTGGTGAATCGGATAGCTGATATCAGTCCTCATGTAACTCAAAACATAGCCAATTTTAGAAGCCGGGCAAAGGTACGTGCAAAGATATACGTGCGTTAATAGTTTCGTAAATTTTGTTTCATATATGAAAAATTATATATAAAAAAAAAACAAAATACAAATGCAGGCACGTGATATTTAATGTTATACATAATGCTGCAGTTCTAATTAGTTACAATACATCTCCAAATAATGTACTGATGAACACTGATAATCTCTTTTTACACCTCAGTGTAAAACTTAAGCACAGGTGAGATGATGATTATATGCCGTAATGACATTTTTGACCTATTGTAAGTGAAGTTTCAAAATCTAGAGAAAGAGAGCAGGGACAAGGCAGTGTACTGCCATGAAATCTACATACATAATCTCTTTAGTTAAAAACAACCGTACAAGTGTGAGACTCAATTTTACGCATGCTACAAAATATAAAATAGTTTCCTTTTTATGCCCCCGCCTCAATCATGGAAAGAGGGTATACAGTGTTACCATTGATCTAGTGCGTCTGAAATCCTTGTCCGGATCATAACTTATGCATTTAGGGATTCAAAGTAATATGTGCAGCATAAGAAGACGGTGTTAAATGCGCTAAAATTATACCTCTAGAACCATTTTCGAAGTCAAACTTAGAAAACAAACATCAACAATTAGAAATTCTTGTCCGGTAAACAACAAATAGTTTGACACACATGAATAGCGTGATGAGACAATAAGTCATGCACAGAATCTCGAACTCGAAGTCCAAGGTCAAGGTGACATTTAGAGGCCAAATGTCATGCTCAAAATCTGACACTAAAGTCTGAAGATAGAAAATCTTTTCCGTCCAATAACTCTGTCATGCATCAAGTGAGCGTAAAATAAAAAATTCTGGAAACAAAGTGATCCCTCGGAAGCATTAATCACAACAAAATAACATAAGAATTGCAGAATCGGTTTGATTGAGTCTGTACATGAGGGATAATGAATAAGTGCAACATCCCTCACGCCCCCTAGCACCGGCTTGAGCGGTAATCAATTCTCAACACTTTATAGTGTTGGCATCAATGATCCCGAAGGACCAGAAAATAAGTCGGCACTTTTATTAAGCATGCTGAGCTTGTGTGACATGCCCCTTGCCCCAATGTCAAGGTCACACTAAGAGGTTAAAGTTAAACAGCTCGAATATTTTGTCTGGTCCATAACTCTGTCAAGCATAAAGGAATTCCGAAGTCAGTTGGCAAAAATGTTATGCATAAAGAATTCTTTTTATCCTAATAATAATTATAACCAATGCATTACTTTCAAATTGACAGATTACTTATTACTTACTGAACTTTTCTTACAGTTTTATGCTTAGGTACAGACTAAACTGAGAAATATGTGCTCTGTCACTCTAAAAGCATGGACATTGGCCTTTTCCAAAACACTGCTGACGTTTGATGTCATAATAACATATAAAGCTAGGTTAACCGTGTCGTTCAGACATATTTCTTATTTTGTATATTATTGAACCTTCTTGGTATTTCTTTTGTTGTTACCATAAACATGGAAATACACTGTACTGTACAAAAATGGAATACATGTTAGCAATTTATCATTCTTATGAAATTGCAATTGGTCAAACGTATGAATCATTTGAAACTATATATGATTCAACATGTCAAATTTACAGCGAGCAGTTGAAGTAAGACGATTGGTAAAACGCTCACACGGACCACTTGGAGATCTTGATGACACATATATTGTAATTATGTCTTTGTTTGTGTTATCGTTTTGTTAAACTGTAAATTGAAACAAATATTTAACATTTACCTTATTTCATATATTTTCTTTAATTTTGTAGGATTTCCGTTGTCAGTTTGTTTGCTTCTAATTGTTGTATTTTTGACGAAATTCATATTAAGATAATTACAATGCTGGTTAGGTTAATTATAATTATTTCCCGAATATATACAAATCGGCAAAATACAATTTGGATACAAGTCAATATATACAAAGGAAAGCATTAGGAGTGGAAACATACATTGTATATAGTCTTAGAAAAAAATCTTCCCCTCAAGTTAATTTTCTACGTATGTCGAGTATATATCGAAGAGATGGGATAATAAAAAATGAGAAATATGAATATGTAATATTGATAGAAAAGATAACTGAGGATAAGTTTAAAAACAAACCAAACAAGTAAGCTTAAAATAAGGTACTCAAATAGGCCAATCCAAAGAAAAGAAAGAACTGTTAGTTTTCAATTGATAAATGATGCATACTATTCATTCAATAATAGGACTATATAACACTTACAGGAAAGTGGATTGATAGTTCTTTCTGATGCCAAAGTATCTGAGGAAAAGATAGATTTGCTTACAACGAAAGGATATCCAACCGAGTGTAAAGGAGAATGTAAGTGCTGCAGTGTTTAAAGTTCTCTGTAATTTTGTTATAAATAGCTATAGTTTGTTGTTTTGTTACTGTTCACCATTCTTATTGAACACATTTAAGAGGATAAAGTCTTAATAGTTATTGAATTACAAATATTTTTGTTACTTATTCATTTTATGTTGATAAGTATTCGTTTAGGCTTGCATGAATAATCTCTTTTTCTTACTTTCAACATCATCATTATCATTTCTTTCAGGGACAACGACACCAGCTTCATCATATTCCACAACGACAGGGCAAGACGATGGTAATTTAAATTTATATTTTGTAGGGTTTATCAAACCCTGACATCAACGCTAATATAATTGTAGTGATGTTACTACATTATTTTTGAGTATACTTTAATTTAGAAACACGCTTTCAGAATGTGTTGGTACAAATAGATACTGACTTACTTAGTATTTGGTGATATAGTCTGGCATTTAAATGATAGTATCAACAAAATACATTTGTAACGAATGTTTCTCTTTATGCAATTATGTGTTATGTCAGTTTGTCCTGGACCCCTGCGATCTACGTACTACGTATCATCACATAATGCACTTTTTGATATTCAATAAATAAAATGTTTAATTTTTGTCACAAAATATTGTAAATATATAAACTGTTAAAACTTCTCCGTGACAACTGATCTCAGACATAAAGGTAAATCGAACTTTGTATTGCTGGATCAGAAACAGTGTAAAATTAGTTGTCGGTAACTTATAATGACTGGGTATGTTATTCAGAAAAGCTGATAAGGCGGACCGGCCGCTGATATACAGTCACAAGTGAATTAGAGATAGACATACACACCAGACAATAAAGCAAACAAAACAACGGAAAAATGTGCCCTAGCGTCTGTCTCGTCTATTTTATCATTATTAATAAGTTTTATGAACAACGATAAAAACGCAACCTTGTAACGTTTGCTAAAATATGTTATTTTGAAACTTACATTTTTCAGGAATGGAACCGATGCCGGACAGTAAGTGTTTCATCGTAATACATAAGTTATTTTAATCATTTCTTAGCAATATCTCCGCAAAGATTAGTTGTATATCGGATATCAGATGCTTTTATCGACAGATGAGAAATGTGATCATGTTTGAGTTAGTGTTTTCTGTCGAAAAGGATTGATACACAAAATGATGCCTTTACAAAAGTTCCAATGTTTTAGAATTACTCAAAAAATAGTCATTGTTATTTTCGGATAAGCAATAATAATGTGTTTGTAAGAAAGATACATTGGAACCTTTGCTACAAGATATAATTATTAAACTTACATTTTCCAGGTATGCTACCACCAAGGCGGCCTATGGACAGTAAGTGTTTTACAGCAATGAGTACTTTATATTTTCTGAGCAATATCTTCGTCCTGCAACGTATTAGTCGTACATCGGAACATTGATTTGATTCCATGCTATCGTTAGAGCAAAACCTGTTATATATGGAAATATGATTCATTTCATATTACCAGGATAACAATTAAAAAAACTTACTATACATTATCATCCTTAAATAGTTTTCGGCATCGTTAAGGAAACGTATTGTCAGTTTACTCATGCAAAATAGTAACAAATGTTATATTGTATCATCTTGTTTGAATTAAAATGTGCTATAAATATATATATATGAAGAGAAACCATGATGATTATATGTGATAATGGATAATGATAACTTTCATTTAATGATTTGTACACAAATTGTCATCAGTTAATATAACTTTCTGATATGTGACAATCTGCTAATGTATTTATTGATACCATTGTATATATAGTAGTAGCCAGGTGTACGGAAATATGCTTAACACATTCAATTTTAATACTTATCGTTCTTAATTGTAAAACATGAATTTTGTGTAACATGGATATTGTTTTACTGTTTAAGGATTTCCCATAGAAGGCATTGTTGAGCCGGGTGAGTAATGTTTAGGCTATGTGTTTCTTATATTCTGTATTTATAACCTGTTTTAAATGTTAGTTATTTAAAGTCAACATGCATTTAAACACCGCTAGTTGACTTTCGTTTCTAAATACGGCTCAATTGAACATTTAATAATCGATTGGTGTTCAACTCGAAGAATGCAGACGCTACTGCAAAATTTAATTATAATTGATTCTCTATTATCATGAATTTAACTTTGTTTACTGAAATAACATTTTTCAGTTGTACTTTGAAAGTCTAGGTTTTTCTTCGTGAATAGAATGATTAACTTTACAAATCAATGTTTGCAGGTCCATCCCTTGAGGAAATCGTTCGTACTAGGTTTCCAGACACGTGGTTATGGGATGATTATAGAATTGGGTTAGATATCTTTTTTGCAATATAAATACGCCAAAACAATCTATCACCTTACTCAAGAATCCACACTCACGAACATCCAGTTTTCATTTTAAATCTTCTTAGATATTATCGTAGTGGTTATAGGCTTTAAGTAAAAGTGTGTCCGGCTAGACTATTTTTTTAAAAAAAGGTCAGAAAGTTAGAAGATGGACTTAAACAGAATCAGAAATAAAAGGTTTTTATTTACAAACTCAACAAGAATAAAAAAAACACTTCCTACATATCATAAATACCGGTAGCTCTGTTTTCTCGGCACTTTCTTTTTTCTTGTTTTTCTGGATAATTAATAATTGATTCCAATAAGTTAAGTGTTAAGAGTAGAAACATTCTTAAGCGAGTATTAAAGAATAGGACGTGAGCTATTGTGCACTGTTAATATTTCCCACGAACAAGCTAAATAAAATCGAGTCGGCATTTTTCAACTCTTTGAATTTTGTTTCATTGCTGTCGAGGATTTATATTTCAAAATTTATTTTAATGGAATATTTGATACATTATTTGATTTTATCCATTTATGTAGATTCTCAAATTGATTATTGAACGACACACTTGAAATATGAAAATAGAAATTGACTTTTTTAATACTGTATACGTACATGTATATGAAGAATAAATATATCATCAAATGATATAAAATTAAGGTTGCATTTGGGGGCCATCAGAAATATTTTATCTACCACGTGCGAACACGATAGCTACTACGTGCGCACGCGATATCTACCACGTGCTCACACGATATCTACAACGTGCGGACGCAATAGCTTTTACAAGCCCTGGTAATGATTGACCAACGTAGAGGCTATCTCGTTCACAAGTAGTAGCTATCGCGTGCGCACTTAGTAGCTAAGTACCATGCTATAAAATGATATCTATATGCGTTTATTATTTATAATTTTAGGTCAAGTGGAGAAATAAATGTCAACCTGAAAGTACCCGACTCCATGACAACGTGGGTGACGTCAGTATTTGCACTTAACCCGAAGACGGGATTTGGAATTTATGATTTAAAGCCAGAGGTATACTGCTAAACTATCATTTATTTACAATATATGACTTTTTTTTGAGTTCTTCAAACAGTTTTGCCTGCAGGAAATAAATCTATCTGTTAGAAACAATTATGTAGAAACAGTAAGTTGCTATGACGAAATAAAAGTCATTAAAAGCTGTTCACACAGGCAGTACCTTTAACATCCCAATATCAGTAAATAACAGAGAGAAGCTGAAGTCCTTGTATCGTTATAAGCCAACAATCTTACTTTCCCTGAATAACAAAACCTATAAATACAAGTGCCATTCCACGCCAAATAAAAGAATGTGTTTGCTCTTAACAAGAAAAAACAATGAGCGAACTAGATAAAAAGGATAAAAAGGAATTTTGAAAGAGGATCAGAAGCCTGAATATTACAAACAAGAAGTCAATAATGTGCGGATTTGTAAAAAAGCTTTTCAAGCTTCCTACTCAATCCGTACAATTTACTATTTGTCAGTTATTATGTAAATAAAATGTTTACAAATAAAATATTGTTAAAATTATGACGTCAAAAGTAGGGTAGTGTTGAACCATTGAACCACCCAAGTTGAAAAAGGTAAACAAAGAAGGAAATTAATTACCAAAACAGATACAGACAAAATATGTCGTTATTCAAGGACCGGAAACATTACATGTTTGATAATATTGTATTGGTCGACTTTTTACGGCCTCAACAAGCACAATTAACATAGATATCAGATGCTGCAATAAGATAGAGAAAAAAAATCTTCTGTTCGCCTAAAACGACAAAATTGGCTTAGACCGTGTTCTGCGTTGTCATACATAGTTTTGCTTTCCCGTAGCGCCTTTTGACATTGCGGATGTTTGCGCTTCTAAAGAGGACCGATCACGAGTTGATATCATCGTTCATTGCCGGAATTGAACTGAGATGACATTTTGACAAACAGCATCAACAACAAGGACTGTCACTGACAATTGTTCTTGAAAAATGAAGTGTTATTCACATCAAACTTACTACCTTTACTTGAAGGTAAATACATGACTCTTGGGCGCGACACGTCGTCTTGATGTTGTAGACATTTGTGCCAACTTATTTTTAAAGCCTTGAATTAAAAAAAAAGTTACACTCCAGGCACAAATGTGTACCTTCCAACTCTTTTTTGTGTGAGTGAACGTACGTCAAATACTTTGTCACTTAAATATTTCGATACACTATCAAAGACTATTATTTCCTCAACAGTCTCGACAGTCTTATGTCTCAAAAGTCTTATCTCGTAGTGCTACCAAGCCATAAGCGCAACCCCATAATAAGCATTTTAAACATATGTTTGAATTATTTCAGGTAACAGTTAGAAAAATGTTTTTTCTTACAATGGACCTTCCAGCGTCGATTGTTCTTGGCGAAGAGTTTCTCCTCCAGATTACAGTTTTCAATAACTACCCTGTGACTAAAATGGTAAAATCAATAATAAAGCTTATTGATAATTGATTGGGCGTCCATTGCAGAGAGATTAAGTGTGTTGCCTCCTAACCACTATCCCCTTACTGCCGTGGGTTATGTCAGGGACTTGCACTATTTCATATGAGGAAGCTTTCCAGCTAGTTTACAGAAAGTAGTGGTTCTACTCAGTTGCCTGTTAGTGCCAAGAGCTGCTTCTGACGACTTTCTCCGCAGAAAAGGGGGCAAGTCACCATATAACATTTATAGGTTTGGTTCGAAGTAATCGTATTGAATATTTCAAAAGGATCATCTGTTATATGTTGAAATTATGTTAATATTTATGACACATACATCGTGAATCTTGCAGTAAATGATAACAAAAGATTGTTAGTTAATGAGACAAATGTTAAAGGTATGCCACAGCAGCTGTAAGCTTATATTCAGGAAATGTTTAATTTATCTCTGTGTACACTATATCATCAAGAAAATCGATTAGGTAATTTTCTAATGAAGAGAACAAAAACAAATAAAAAAACCCTGGTTTCGTTTTAAAGGTTTTCCTACAGATAACGATGTCTGATAATCCGAACAACCTTTTTCCAGCTTCGACTAAAGTAAGTAAACCTTAAGATATAACTACTCAAAAGTAATCAACTACACTAGTACATTTCGTTTACTCAAAACATAATAATAACGGACAGAAACTTTGCTTATTGATTCATTTTAATTAAGGTATGTTGTATTGAATTTATAATAAGTTAAAACACTGTGGCCGATTGGGTAAGGTCTTTGACCTAATACCACTTTTTTTTTTACCGGTCAAGAAGTATTCGAATTCTGTTGATGGGTTTAATTCATATCATGTTTTTAATTTAAAACTGACTTGTTATTTTGTATATTGCAGGTGAAAGGAAATGACGGTCATTCAACATTTATTCGATTTCAGCCTGAACAAATTGGAGTATTAAATATAACAGTTAAAGCATTCATCATGGACAATATGTTCTTTCCTGTACCAGACATAATAATGAAAAGTGTTATAGTACGGGTAGGTTTCCCAATACGTTTATGAGTTTATGTATCTTTGGTGATGTAGAATATTTGATATTGACTTCTTATAGATATATTTCTCATAAAAAATTAGAAAAAAACCCGTATCTCTAAAACACCTCAATCACACCGATTTTTCAATTTTCATTGTTTTCAGTTTTTACTTTTATTGCTCTCGAGGTATTTTCCATTTTTCTAGATTTTTAAACATACATTCGAAATCCTGTTTGAATTATGGGTTAGACATACGGTATTGATTTTAAGTACAAAATATAGGTTTTTATTTAAGTTACTGTCCGTTTAGGATAATTATTTAGTGACGCGTCGGTCAAGTCCACTATTACGGTGTAAAACAGTTATTACACTGTATTTGTTATCTGTAGGGAAGCAAAGTAGCGATATAAATTTAAATATCGACAAATTTATCAACTGTCAGCGTAACGCAGTAGGTAAGGATATCGTCTGTTAATTTTCTAGTTAAATATCAATGCAAGACAGTCAGACTTTGATTGTTTTTCTTTTCGCAAATATTTTTTTTGTAAAGATTATAAGGGTTGTGTTATTTTCTTATTTCAATATTTTTTCTTTCGTTCCTTCTTTTCTTCTTTTTTTTTATTTTTTTTATATATTGCAATGCTATATTTATATATATAACTTATCAATTTATTTCATAACAATTATTTTCAATTCAGTTCAATATTTTGAAAAACAATACATTTACTTCATTCCGATGATTCCGAATCCGTCAACACGTCCTCACCCTCCTCCGCTGTGTCGGTTTCCTCGTCACTAGAGTGCAATTCTATTACAATCTTTTCTATTTCGGCATCAACTGCGATGTCTAGCTCCCAGTACTGTTTTTCTATTTTTTGAACATGTGAAATACAGTTCTGCCAAAAGTCAACTGTGATGGATGATAAAGCCTCTTCTGTTTTCTGAAGCAGCGCCGTCATGTTGAAGGTTGTATTTTGTCGCGTAACAGATCCCTTCACACCTGCCCACACAAGCTCTATGGCATTAAGATCAGCATGATATGCTGGAAGTCGTAAAACTTCATGGCCATGATCTTTCAACAGGCTGTCAAGTACATACCGGGGCGCTGGTTTGTTACTCTTACATAGCTGCAGTAGCTGGGCCTTCAACATGTTATCTTCAAAAACAATACCATGACGACGTAACCAGTCTTGAATTTCGGCTTTACGGTTGGCTTGAGTAGGACACTTGTCGGTTTGAAGATTATGGTACGGAGCGTTGTCCACTATCAAGACTGACCTTGCTGGCAAATTTGGAACAAGTTATTCTCTGACCCACTTTAGGAAATTTTCGCCGTTCATTTCACTGTGATAATCTCCGGTAGATGACTTCGATTTAAACACCAGTGATGCTCCTTCAATAAAGCCATTTTCGTTTCCGGCGTGTACCACAATTAAACGATCCCCTTTGTTCAACGGCGATTTAAGTCCAACAAAAGTTGACTGCCAGGATTTCGCAACCGTATGGGAAGTGTGAAGGAATGTCTCGTCTGTATAGACAATGCTTCTGCCTTCATCCCTGTACTTTTTTATTTGTCTCAGGAAGTGAACTCTGACTGCAACTATATCTGAACGCTCCATTAGTACACTTCTGTTTGTCTGTGTCTTTCGCCATACAAAACCTAATTGATGTAGGGTCTTTCGTAGACTCTCTTTTCCGCCCTTGTAACCGATTTTCTCGTGTAAGGCTTCTTGAAGGGTCTTAATGTTTGGGATGCGTTTCTGTTGCATAAACATTTCTTGCATTGTCCGTCGAACCACACCAAGATCAAAATCATCCAAGATGACTTTGTCTTTCCTAACCTTCCTTTGAGCAGCCGGCTTGCTCATCATCTTTTGTATGCGATATAACGTGGCCTGTGAGACACCGGTCAAGTTTGCAGCCCTTTCCATGGGTGATGACAATTGAATCTGTAATGCACCAGACTGCTTTTCATCTTTACAGACCTGAAATATGGAAACATATGAATGAATATCAACGATTTAGGCTGACTATGGAAAACCAACAAAAGAGTATATAAACACACAACATGCCTTTATAACATGATGCAGAATTTTCTTAGACAATTCGTCGTAATTCTGGTAATTACGACCAGAATTCAATGAAGCCATATCTAGCAAGTTAAGTTAGTGCAACCTTATACTGAATACTGAACGGATTTCATAAATATTCAAAAAATGTTTCAACTATGGTTCATTTGACACGAAATACTCGTGCACTGTGTAAGTACTATGACTACTACATACAACACACTAGACAGTTTTAGAAGTCATTAATACCACAAATTTACCAGTATATTTGAATGATAACATATTATATATAAAACTACTTTTATATTCCAATTAATTTGCATCTAATGTAAATTAAAAAAAATATGGAAAGAAAAAAAGAAAAAGTAAAAAAACTTGTGGGGCTCGAACTCATGATAAAATTCACATTTATTCGCATCCCAAGGACTATACTACCTTTGCTATCAAGACATTTCAAATAATTCTTGTTATCTTGTATTATATTCGCTTCTAAAAATCCTGTTTTAACTATACAGACAAAGGTTGTAAACCTTTGTGTACACAAAAAATGAAACGTCACTCTCACATTATCATAGTGGCACAGTAATACACGAATTGTTGAGAATAAAATTTGCGCCTGCAAAGGCCACTAGTCACATAACAAACATGAAATTTTATCAGTTGACATAAAGGTCGAATATGGAGTAAAACAGGATTTCATGATTGATTGATATTGGTCATTTTAATTCAAAGCATTATCTGTAGCTGTCCATTCCCTGTTAAATCCCCTAATAAATATATTGTTCGATGTTATTTCATTTAGGGTACAATCTAGGGTACTCTTTTAAATATTTCCGTCTCAATTAACTCCATCATAGAAAATCGACAGGACATCGTGCATGTGATTTTCATTTTTTACGTGCCTTGAACTGTTAATAAAAAAACCTAACAATATTGTGTCCAAAGCATCATCTTAGTGTATTTTTGACATCAATTTCCAAACATGATATAAAAGTAATTAATGTAACATCTGTTGATAATAAGACATATTAAGTAAATTATTAATTGTTTTTATTCCAGCCGAATGGCGTTTTTAAAACAACCAATGAACAACATTTGATATCCGTTACTCCAGCTTCCAGCCCAGTTACAAAACAAATTACCATTATTACTCCTGACAATATGGTGGAAAATTCCGAATTTACTATAATCATCATAACCGGTTAGTATTTCAATGCTTTTTTTAATTCCATTACATTATGACACATGCTATATTTAGTGAATTTATAAGTGTACAATGATGTTCTTAGTCTCATTTGACACAAAAGTAAAAAAAAAAAAACAACAAAAAACTGAATGAGTGTATGATCTGAAATTTTTCACACAAGTTATTGGTCAAGATCTATCTACATCAAATTTTTATCTTTGCTTTTGAAAAATAATTCAATTTTTGATAAAAATATTTCAGGAAATTTCATGGTACCTAGTATTGAAGGTTTAGACAGTTTGATAAAATTGCCTTATGGTTGCGGTGAGCAGACTATGATTAATTTTGCCCCAACAATATACATCACGGATTATCTTACTATCGTGGGAAAATTGACTGCAGAAATACGACTTAAATCAGCTGAAAGTTTGCATAAAGGTAACAGTTCTAACATCATTTGGTTGACTTTTGAGATTGAGAATATTTACTTTTAAAGAAAGCAGTTTACAGTTTTATAGTTTATTTTAGAACTATAAAATAATATATAATAAAAAATTCACCACAACATAATTATTAGTTATCAAAAAACATAATTCATTCTATTGTCAGATGAAAAAGAGAAAATCACTGTCTAAAGTACATACAGTTGCAAAATAGTGAAATGCGCAATAGGTTGCTTAATCGCCATTCAGAATGTAGCTTTAATTTGGGAATTTGAAAACACATTTCAGGATTTCAACAAGAACTGACGTTTAAACGCTATGACGGCTCATTTAGCGCATTTGGAAATCGTGATTCGTCAGGAAGCAGCTGGTATTGTTACGATCAAACGAATACATTTATCATTTTAAAATATCTGTATATCTTTATCATAAACAAAATTCAATGTATATTTAACAGTTATGTAAAATATAACGTAAAATATTATTATTGAATAAATTCGTAATTTAGTCAAATCTTCCAATATCAGTAATGACAGCGGAGCAATTATAACAAATTACTATATAAGTGGTTAAGCTAGCGACGCGGAAATATTTGCAAATTGAAAAAAAAATGATAAAATTTCTACTGGCGTAAACATCACAGAACATGTCATTTAATTCTACTCGGGCACAATTCGCTAATATTCACACACGTGAAATTTTAAATTCGTGACTTTTTGACAGACATTAATATCTGTTCATACTTTACAGTTACTATATTGTAATTATTTCTCGAATGATTTCCATTGTGATACAAAGGTTGACGGCATTCGTATTGAAATGCTTTGGGGAAGCGAAAGGGCTTATACAAATTGATGATACAATTATGGTGAACGCTATGACATGGTTACTGAGGTATCAAAATAGTGACGGATCTTTTCGAGAGCCTGGAAGGGTTATTCACTACCAGATGCAGGTAAACAATACAGCATGATTCTTGTCATTTACATTTCATAATTATTTTCATACGATTTTGAATTTGCTTGTCTTGCATTTTTATTGTTATTCTCGAATATTTCAAAATTTGTTTATAAAATTCAGTAAATTGTTGGTTTCTTTATTATAATTTTCTTTACATATATTTTATTATAATTTGAACATTTCATGTATCAAATTTTGCAATCTCTTTATTATACGAGTCTTAGTCACGAACAGAACACCTTTTGTCTTGTTTTAGGGTGGTACTTCTTCTGGTATAACGATGTCAGCTTTCATTATTATATCATTATTAGAAAACAAAAACATGGGAGGTGTTCAGGTAATAGAAGTAACACTTTTATATATAACCACAAGATAACTGACATTCCCATGTTATAATAATTTAGCCTATAAATTAAAATATTCATCAATATTGTTGAGCGATTACATAATTGCATATGCGGACCCTTAATAAAAGTAATAAAGAATTTTGATTTCTGAAAATAGAGAGTTTCAGGCATTGTACAGATAATTACATAAGTAGTTCTTTTAAAATAGGGTTTAACAAGTGCAATTACAAAGGCTTCGTCATATTTGGAAGGAAAACTTCACGATGTCACAGATTCTTATACACTTGCCATTCTTTGCTACGCTCTTGCAAGTGCCAACAGCCATTTGAGATCAACATGTTATATGAAGTTGAAAGATGCTGCAATATACGATGGTCTTATTTCAATATACATTTTCTGAAATAAAGATGATATCAAAACTTTTATTAGTTACAAGAGTTTCATTAATCAAGTGTTTAAATGTTTCGAGTAGGAAATGATTTGCAGTCGTTATAACACAAACAATATGCGATACATATTCTCTATTAATATGATTCAAAAGTAAGTTTTTTTAAAGCTAGATATAAAGTTTTGTTGAAGATTTAAAGAAAACACTTTAATCTGCTAGTATTAAGATATGTTATTCATGACCTAAAACATTCAAATATTTTCTTTGTAGATGATAAGGTACACTGGGAAGCTAATCGTAAAGTCTCCAAGAGGGAAGTAGGTTCCAAGGTATTAACAGATAGAGCACCGGCAAAGGATATAGAAGCATCATCATATGCTCTACTAACGTACATGAAACTTGGATACTTCTCAGAGGCTTTCCCTATCGTTACATGGCTTGTGTCACAACGAAACCCGACTGGTGGTCAGAGTTCTACTCAGGTAATGCACATTATATAGATATAGTTCCGATCATGACGGCTTAAATTGAATCTATAATACATACGTAATCGTCATAACAATGGCAGAGTGGATACATAGACATCAAACTCAGTAGCTGTCTAAAGCGTGTTGCTTGATGCTGACTATTTCATTGCTGATTACATAACTTTCAGGACACAATTATATCAATACAAGCGATGGCCGAATATGCAAGTAGCGGGAATGGTGCACCAGGTCCAGGCTACGGAGTATTTTTTAGACTATCTAGTTCAGGGAATTTCAAACATGAATATTCAATTAACTCTGCTACTTTCGACTTCGTACATAGAATCGAGGTAAGTATTCATTCAATTACCGTATAACTGGTAACTTCTGGGGTGCAATTTCTTTACGTTTTGGGACTGAAAATGGGTAAATTAATTTTTGCGAATTTAATTTCTGCGTTTTGCATAAAAAACTTTTGAAAAAAATAATTCCTTTGTTATTTTATTAAATGTACAGCCTACAAACACAATCTAGCTTAACTTAATTCACGATAATCTACATTTTAAATCCTTTGTGATAATTGACTACACCTAGACCGCGTTATAAACATCTCACATTTCTTAATCAATACAATACAAAACAATACAACACAATAATACAACACAGTTTTTTGCAACGTTTCTAGCATAATAATAGACGATTTTCACTAGAGCTAGGGGCTACCAGCGGGAAGTGTGATTGATTAATTTAACAGCTAAATTGAGGTGACAAACGGGGTAAATTACTTAATAAAACAACAAAATATTTGCGAATTTGTTTTTTGCGGTCGGAAGGGATCCGCAAAATATCGCATAATTAGCTATCCGCAGAAATAACCAGTAATTCTTCGTATTTAATAATATAAATGCCACATCAGATGCGAAACTAGTGTGTTCTGTTATTTCAAAAGTATAGAGCGTTTAGTTTCAGCTTTTCTTCCCAAGTACAGAAGAAAAGTAAAAGTGAAAAAGTATTAAGATCAAAATCAACTTTTGTAAGACAATATACAGCTCTATTTCAACAATAGTTAAATGGTGACATTTGCAAGTGTAATTGCTTTTGTAAGTATTGTCGGACATGTATATCTGAAATTGAAATTGACCATCTCTGATACAAAATGTAATGATCCAAACGAATTGACAATTTAGGCAATTTACTAGATATGACCGTGCTTTTGAAATCAGAACTTTATTTTTCTGTGGTCAAATAGAACATTTTGACTATATTATATAAATAAATCAGTGTACTTTGGTCATACTTTAAAAAAGGATTATTTACTTGTTTTGAAAATAGCTGTGTAAAGTTATATTTTATATTCAACGTATATTATATTAACTGCTGCAATTAAATTCTTAAAACTCTATAATAAGCATTATAAGCCTGAATCGATACAAAATGTTTTGAAAAAAAGTTATCATTGCCTTACAGTCAAAATTAAACTGTAATATAGACAGAATTTCATTATGGGCAGATACATGGCTTGTTTCATTTAATCCTTGTAAATCTGAGTCTTTATAAGTCTCTAGAAAGAGATATCCAAATCAACACCCAGAACTACAAATGAATAATCAGACTATTACTGAAGTTTCCGACCACAAGCATCTTGGAGTTTTAATTTCGAATAACTGCACATGGCACTCACATATAGATTATATAACAAATAAAGCATGGAATAGGGTAAATATTATGAGAAAACTTAAATTTCGCCTAGATAGAAAATCACTAGAGACAATCTACACTTCTTTCATTCGTCCATTACTTGAATATGCTGATGTTATATGGGGAAATGCTACAAATTTTGAATTAGACGAACTTAACAAAATCCAAAACGAATGTGCTCGTATTGCTTCCGGATGTACAAGACTTGTTTCACTCGAAAATCTTTCAAATGAAATAAACTGGGAATCTCTCGAAGAAAGACGATATATACATAGAATGATCTTACTTTTTAAAATTCAAAACGGACTAGCTCCAGATTATCTTTTCTCAATTCTCCCAACATCAACTAATAATAGGTACAACCTAAGAAATAGTGACAATATTCCGGGAATATATGCAAGAACTACACTTTATTTTAACTCTTTTTTTCCGACTGCAATAAGGGAATGGAATAATCTTCCACACGACGTCCGTACCCTTCCAACTATCACATCATTTAAACAAAATTTGAAGAAAAACATACGGCACACGCCTTAGTATTACTTGTCTGGTAAAAGAAAACTTCAAATTCTTCATACAAGACTTCGAACAAAGTGTAGTTCTCTAAACTACCATTTGTTTTTGAAAAAAATAACTGCATCACCTTTATGTCTTTGCGGCCAAATAGAAAATAACTTTCATTTCTTCTTCGAATGTACACAATATGACACAGCTCGACAAAAGTTACTTCGAAATTTTAAATAACTTTGACATTGATTTAAATGTTCTACTTTCAGGCAACCCAGACCTTTCTGACCAATTAATGACAAAACTTTTTCACACGTACACACTTACATCCAAGAGACAAAAAGATTCATTTAACACCCAAACACTTAAACATTATATTCATATACTTTATACCTCATTATTTATCTTTCTCCTTCTTCACTACCTTTTCACCTTTCTGTGTTTTTTCAAATACTATTCTACTTTGTATGATAATATTTATTTGAATGTTAATTCAATCTATTGATATATTCATTCTAAATATATATTCATCCTAAATATATTCAATGGAACATATAAATGTTTCTTAAAGCATTTGAATACATATCAATTTCTGTGTGTTTTTTTCTCTAATATATTTTTTTTTCAAGATTTTTTTTCTATATTTTATTCATCTCAGATTATAAAATATGTAATTATTTAAGCGCCTATTACATGTCAATTACTCACTTAGGAGAAGAATTTCATAAGACATATTGTCTTTCATCCTAATCCTGTTTTTTTAGAATATTTGAATTGCATCTGTATATTGTGAATTATAACATGTATATATATTCTGAGAAATAAAATATGTTTAAACTAAAATTAAACTGTAAGTTAGCCGGCGTGAAAGACAGCTCAATCTATTTAATTACACAAATACCGATTTTTTAAATTGTGACTTATTGATGAGAAAGAAGTAAATAGGATATATATGGTATGATTGTGGTTCCAACAATACAAAAATGAGTGATATAGAACAAACTTCTCTAGATAGCTTACTTACTAAAAATTTAATTTTTACCAGCTCTTAAAAATATAAATGATAATAAAAGTCCTTGATCAGATGGATAAGCAACATAATTATATAAAATCTTTGGGTCTGATATAAAATATATCTACATTAACCCTATCAAACATTCTTTTGAAATTAGAAATTTGACTGAAATTTAGAAACTATGTATCATCACTCTGTTATAATCACTCTGTTACAATAAACGAACAAAGATACTCGGTTTTTAGGGAAACTGGTAAACAATACAGTGGATAAAACTTTTATACAATGATCCACAAAACAGTCTTATTGATGAGGGACATGTGTCTTTAAAGTGATTAGAGTTGTACGCAAGGATTTCCACTCTCTCGTATATTTTTTTTTTAAAGCATTCGACTCCATTCCAATTGTATTATTAAACATGACAAAATATAGGGGATAACAATAAATAAAATTGAGGTCAACATCTTTTTGTTTGCGGATGATGCAACGTATATAAGTGATGGGTAGAATGGATCTTTTGAAACTTAATCGATTATTCGATGATTTCAACACCATTCCAGGCCAAAAATGAAACGAAAGAAATTTCACGTTTTAAAATTAGACTGACTAAGTATTTCAGAATCTAAATACTGTCCAATTGACTTCTGACAGTGCACTATCTTAAGGTATGAAATTTTGTACAAACTCTACTTTTACTCTTCAAAAGAATTACGAACCTAAAATTTATGATTTTGAAAATTACTTTAAGCAATGGCAACACCGAAATTTCTTTTACACCCCTTGGTAATGTTAATGTTATCATATCCTTTACTTAACCAAAACTGATCTAAGCTCTCATCTGTGTTACCTCTACCTAGTTATTCATGAAACCCTGATGCAGATTACATTGAATATCTGACTTTAGCATACTGACGTCATTTCTTGTATCAGTCTAGACAATGGTAATATAATCATCCCAATTAATAACATTAAGCGCCTAAGCTTAAAACCAAAAGAGGCAATTAAATTTCTATATGCAAATCAATTTAAAATGATAACAAATTCAAAATTCATGCTGGAAATTAGTTGGAAAATATCTTTGGAAACGAAAACATATGTTGGAACTAAACATACAAACACATTCTAACACAACAATATACATTAAGTTCAGAAATTTCAATATTAATATTTACATACATAATTGCTACAAACAAAATTCTTCTTAAATGAAACCTTTTTTCCTCGAGACTTTGTGATTTTTGTGCAGTGGGCAGTAAATTTTTTGAACACCTCTTATGGCAAAGTTCATACACGCAGTCTTTTTGGAGAGATTTAATATAATATTAAAAATGAATTATAGAAATTGACTAAAATCAACATATCTCTTAATTTCAAAGGCAGATACATGCAGGTGCAACAAACATTATTCTTTTGGTTGCAAAATATTACATTTAGTGTAGAAAAAGGAATACACACACCTCAATTCAACTTATGTTTTAAAAAAATATATTTGGACATACCGGGGTATAATTTATGAAAAATGTCTTGCATTTAATCACTATAAACTGGTATTTCATTCGAAAAGATGGATTAGAAATAGATACGAATACTGACACATGAAAATATGTTACTTACATGAATATAGAAACAATTAAGTTAACAAATGGTCAAAAACTGTACAGGTATCTTCTGCTTTTGTGTTCCTTTGTATTTCTTTTCACTTTCTTTACTTTTCCTTTCTGCTTTTTTGTTAATATATGTTATATGGCATATTATGTTATACCGCCTGGGGTCTGTCAGGGCGAACATCCAATGGTCTATGAGCTTCATTCCGTCCATAATTTTAGTTAAAAGAGGGAAATCCCATAAATCGACTGGTTTATGTGGTAATTTTACTAGTTTATGGGGAAATATGCCAAATAAAGATCAAAGAAAAAGATCATAAACCCAAAATGTTGGCACTTCCGTCCGTCCGTCCGTTAGCAATTTGGTTTCTGGAGCATAGCTTAACTTCCATTTGGCCCATTTTCGTACGTCATAGGATGATTGTCCATATTGGGTAGAAGACCCTTATTGATTTTTGGGTCACAATATCTAAGGTCAATGTCACTTTTACCTTAAAACTGAAAACAGATTCTGGAGCATAACTTATGTTCTATTTCGCCCACAATATTCAAACTTAATAGGATGATTGTCCATATTGGGGAGAAGACGGTCACAAGATCAAAGGTCAAGGTTAATATTAACTTAAAACTAAAAACAGTTTCCTGAGCATAACTGAAGTTCCATTTGGTCCACAATATTCAAACTTCATACGATGAGTGTCCATATTTGGTAGAAGATCCCTATTGATTTGGGAGAACAAGGTCAAAAGGTTTAGGTCACTATTACCTTAAAATTGAATACAGTTTCCGCTCAATAACTTAAGTATAAATCAACCCACAGCTGTAAAATTGTATAGGATGAACAGCTATGTCCAATACATCCATCGGTCGTAGCATGTTTACTTAACAAGATAACAACTTGATGGTTGTGGTGCTTAGAAACTGCAACTGTATATATATGAAGGTTCTTCAACTTAAAAGGAGGATCGCATTTTGAAGGAGGCAATACTTTATTTGATTCCCTATCCTATATCTTACAAATGCTTCATCCTTACTAAAAATCACTTTCGGGCATATAAAGCTCCGCCTTGCGGTGCTCTTGTAAATAATAGGTAACTCTAAAACGAATACCGTATTACTGAAGGTACCCGAAATGAATGAGTGCTGTTTTGTGTGTGTGTTATGTTCGAAATATTTACAGTTATAAATTTTGTTGATATTTATGATTTGCAGTGAGTGCGTTCGTGCGTGCATGTGCGTTTGTGTGTAGAAACAACTCTTAGTCACTATGTTTTTGTATTACTTGCAGTAAAGTTGTCTTAATTATCCTAATGAAGATTATTATCTGACCGAAACTGGTCGATTAATAATATCTCAAACCTACTATGGTGTTTCTGACGTGTCGTACTGCATACTTTCCTTATTGTTTCTTAGTTTAATATATGTTAGTACATTTGAGCCGCGTCATGACAAAACCAACATAATGGGTTTGCGACCAGCATGGATCCAGACCAGCCTGCGCATCCACGCAGTCTGATCAGGATCCAAGCTGTTCGCTATCAATTTTTCTACTTGTAATAGAGTTGGTAAGAGCATGGATCCTGATCAGACTGCACTGTTGCGCAGGCTGGTCTGGATCCATACTGGTCGCAAACCCATTATGTTGGTTTGGTCGTGACGCGGCCTATTTTATTACTGTATGATCACAGAGAAAAAATAAACACTGAAATAAAAAAACTCAATATTATATATATATTTTATAAATACTGTACTGAATTACAAAATTATGAAATGTCATAACATTTGACAGTTTCAGTAAAAGATAAAAGCTGTGTAAAAGTCATTAAACTAAATATTGTATCCACAAACAGCTTAATACCCAAACACTGACTGTATACCGTACGAACATGGACCGATAGCATTTGTAGTAAGATTTACTGATGATCTAAAAATAATCTCGAAAATAACTCACTAATCTGATTCCAAAATTTGAAATAAGCCAAGGCTTATTATCGAATTTTTAAGGTAACTTCATACGAAATATGCAATAATGTGATGGAATTTCGCTTTGTAAGCCTTACCGACAAACACTTCCATAACCTCTTTTACAATCATCCTCATAATGTGCAAGAAATAATTATTTTGGAACATAATTATAAGAAAGTTGCATGTTGAAAAAATTAAAATGCAAATTTAAAACATGGTTTAAATGCCAACACATTATTAGGATAAAACCTGAATGTTATGTTAAGTAAAGAAGTAATACATGTATATACACTATATTATTTTCAGTAAGATATTTATCATGAAATATTATAGGTACCAAACGATGTTGAAACAATAACGGTTCTAGTTAACGGATCGGGTTTAGCGGTAATTGATGTAAGTTATTTTTTATTATAATTATACACTTACATGATATTTTGAGTGATGAAAAAAGTATATTGAGTCAATAAAAAATCAGAAATGTATTCAAATAGACATGATGTAATGTTGAAAGAAGTGACTTTGCCTCCAGACATTTCTACGATGCGGACCGTTACCTGATAATTTCTCCAGCGCATGTGCAATTTGTGTAGGGCAAAAAATCCTTGCCCTACATAGAAATGTAGTAAAATTCATAAACAGTTCTGCAAAAGTTGACGGTACAAAGTGTAAAATTATATTTAATAAATTTTACCAACGACAAAATTGTCTTTTTAGCTTTTGGTCCATTGTTGTCATAAATAAAGCAGAAAAAGAAGATTTCGTGTATGTCACCATGTTGGACTTGAAAATCACTGAGTAAATTATTTTGAAAATGTGAAAGTATATTAAAGAAAGAAAAGAGCTCTTCTTTATTCATAGTAGTTTATTTGAAAAACTAAAGAGATTTATGTAGCATATGTACTGGAGGTAAATCATTATTCTGAAAAGGTAATGAACATGAGATAATGAATGACTATGAAAATGGTTTACGATATCAGTTTTCCAGATTTTACCCTTGATCTCATTTGACTGTTATGTCATACATTTATATATATTTAAAAGTAACAAAAATATGTTGATATGTTTTGTAAAAATCTTGAGAAGTCAAGAGCATTTCCCCGGCGTGTTGCCTTATAACACAGATTTTTACTTAGTTAATCGTAACACATCTTCAAAATCTATATTAATGTTATTGTATGCTGCACAAAATTAATTCCAAACACAGAAAAGATTGAAATATATATAAGATATTTAAATAACCTTCATCATAATTTAGTGATTATCTTTTCCATGGTACTTACAAAATAGATGAATAAAAAATCCCTAAAGAAAGCCCGACACGGCAAAATTGAAAATGTTGCAGGCTCGGTTTGATTGAGCCTGTTCATGGACGGTACTGGAAAGTGCAAGTTACCTTCCACGCCCCCTAGCACCGACTTAAGCAGAATTCAACATATAAACATGAAATAGTAAAATTTTGATTTTAGAAACATCCGCAGATGTGTTCATACGGCGTTTATCATGGAACCTTCAATGTGACACTTCATGCCATTCCACGAAAAGCGGCGTATCGTCTCCAAGTAATAAAAAGCGTGTGCCTTAAACGAGAAAAAAATGGGCGGAAGTAAATAAAATTGAATTTAAAAAGGGGATCAGAGGTTATGAAGCCTGCGTATCACAGATAAGACGTCAAAAAACAAATTAAAAAAAAGGCAGCATACCCTAAGGATGATTTTTAACATTATTCAAGTAGGAATATGGAACCACCCAACTAGAAAATGCCGAAAAGTTGAAACTAAAATTACCACAAGCACAACAATAATGTCGTGCTGAACAGGGATCGAAAATATAACATCATTGATTAAATGTACGGGGAGACTTTTTACTTTTTACAAGTCGCGTTTGATTAATATTGAAAACTGGCTAAAACAAACCTACACGTGTCTATCTCTTTAAGACTTCCCGCTTGCCAATTCGCATTATTAAAGGACAATACAAATTGTGTTATATCATGCAATGGACGAGTGTTGGACGAGTGATATAAGTTTATCTTGAATACCATGCTGTTTTTGTGTAAATTACTGATGTATAAGTCGTATGATGGTACTTTAAGCAGATAACTAATATGTATACTTCTGGAACATTGAATTGTTAGCCATGCATATTTTATTATATGGTTACACCTTTTATTACTTAAATTCACTTTGCATCAAAAGAAAGTATTTTGAACTAGTGCTTAATCATTTAGTCTAGGACAAGTCGTTAATGAAGTTGTTGAATACTGATAAAATGTATTTTTCATTATTTACTGCTTTTTGCCTTATACATAATGCGCATGCGCGTAATACTACTTCCGTGTCTTAGAAATATCGTTTTGTAAAAAACGTCTGTATTAATTTTGCATGTTAATTCTTTTAAGTTTAGTGAATAATTCTTTTCTCTAAAGGTAGCATTAAGACACCGAAAATGTATAACTGTTTGTAAAATCTGCTAGTAAATATATTTTCTCAAAGGAACTCCTCTGAGTTTTTTTGTCATGATAGGATAAGAAATATTTTTTCCAGATAAATGTATCATTTGATGTAAGTTTAGACCTCTAAACTTTATGCAAAATTTCAGATCATTCGCGCACTTCGTTTTTCCAGAATAAATATTCAAATTGTAGAAAAATGACCCAAAATGAAAAGCGTTTAAACGCTTCTCACACAAATCGGGCTGAGAAAAGCATCAAAATACGATTTTCAACTTATTTCAAAGTATATTTCTTAACTATCTTTGCAAATATTTCTGTTAAAAGTGCCCCAGCTCATTTATGTAAGAAATTCAAATGTTATGTTTAGGGTTTTAAACCTCAGTGGAGTCCCTTTAAGTTCGATTACACCTTCATATTTTATAAAAAAAATTATCGACTGATTTTTGGGATTGGAGAATAATGAGAGGTTTGAACTTGCATTTGTTTTCATTTTGGTTGAACATTTTGCACCCCCTGTTTCATTAAACAGTTGCTTAAGTTTTTAACCAATATGATTTTGCAAGAGCTTTCGTTAATCCAGCCAAAATAATGAACATTATATATATATATATATATATATTTATGTCACTTACTTTGTACAGGTATCTACTTCCTATTATGTTACTGGAAATGAAATTGATGATAAGATCGGAGTGAACGTGACAGTTACAACAGAGCTTATAAATACTGTTTCGATTAAATCGTGCTTAAGGTAAACATCACTTCAATAATTATTGACAAAATAATATTAAAAAACTGTTTTCCGAGATAATTCTTGAATTAATCTTCATGGATCAGACTATAAAACTCACAGATCTTTTCATAGAAAATTTCAGTTGATCTTTTACATTTAACATGAATTTATTGTTATACATCTTTAAACATTTTTTATTGAAAGTGATTAAGATAAGAAGTTTAAAAATGATTGATTTTTATTACTGATATTTTTTGTTGTATGTTGAACATTTGACACCTTTTAACTTTGTTTTCATGCAAGATGGAATGGAAGATTGGATAGTGGCATGTTACTTATGGAGGTCGAAATGCCAACTGGCTTTCAGTCTAATGCCACTGTACTAAACCGCCAGAGTATGATAATGAAACACGAAACAAATGGCAGAATAATTGCTCTATATTTCAATGGTGTAGGTATCAAGAGATCATATAAACACATTTAACATTTTAATAGCAAAATATGTTTTGCATTTATATGCCATTGAGGGAACGTTTTTGCTAAGATACTCTACTTCTATTTAATACACGTTTTGTTTTATGGTTCACTCTTGTAAATGTTAACCATCGAAACAAGTTAAGCGGTAGATAGACTTAGATTTCATGCTTTTTATTTTAAATGAAGGTTAAACCTAGTACAAACATTTGTGTTGATGTGAAAATGGACCGTGTTGACCCTGTTGTTAAAAGTCAAGCATGTCACGTGAAAGCATACGACTACTATGATCCAGGTAAAATAGAATGTCAATTGAAGTGAGCGAAAGGCATAAACCCATTATTGTTCACATTCATTTAAATGTTTTCTATTGGCAAAAACGGGTTGATGAGTGTAAAGTTAAATTTATTGGTACAATAAAGAAGATACCAGCACATTACATTTTAAAATAATGAAAACATTAAAGGTTTTTACAACGATTAAATGCATGAAAGAAAATGCTCTGTTCATTTCTCAGTGATGCTCACACTTATGTAGACACTAGATTATTAGTGGTATATTTGCTGTTGTAGGATCTTAAAGTCCACACACTTATACATGTATTAGTGTTATACATCATTTTCATTTGCTGTTTGAAACTTGAAACATCAATACTTTTCTTTAATTTTGAATTTTGCCAGTTCACCAAGCAATAACTAGATATGAATTTGGACTGCTGAAGAGCTCAAACATTTGTAACATTTGTCCTTTGTGTGGATTCTGTACCAATGCTGACAATTGAGGAACGGTAAATAACATAATTTCTAATAACGATGAATATGTACAATGATCAGATTCTGTCATAAACTGAATCGTATTCACTTGTACTGATAGGAAAAATAAAATCTTGTCACACTGCAATTAATACAGACTGCTGAAAATAAATATGATGACTATTTTGATCCCCCTTCCTCATTTTGTTTTCTATAATATCTTGATTAAATGTCAGCTGGTTTCGTGTTTGTTTTAAATAACTATGCAATTTTGTAAGAGTAAGATTAATTTTAAAGAATAAATCTCAAATGCTTACGTATATAAACAAAACTTTCAGAATGGAGTTTTAACATATATTTTCAGAAAGGAGTTTGCCGATACGCTAACAATACCACCTTCTGGATACCGTATACATATTAAAGTGTACAACGGACTTTAATAAGATAGTACATTAAATACGTTTAAACTTTATATATGAAAGTTAGAGTTCTTTATTGGAATAAATTATAACAAAGCTTGCAAAAATTATGTCACGGTAACAACCAATAATTAAAGATATATTCTCATAAAATAAAATAGTTAGTTATTTCTATACCCTGCAGTATTTTAGTTGTGTAATATGTATGCAGTATGTTTCAATAGCACATATTCGGCAGTTTTGATCGAGACAGATGTTGGTCAAGTTAGTTCCGTAAGAAATCTGCTTTCGAAACTGAAAATAAATTACAAAAATTGTATATTTGATTTCGAAATGGTACTTTGGACCTCCAACAAAACATTGATTTGTTATCCGACTACGTTGTTGCCAATAAAATATTTCTTGTATGAATTTCCTTCCTTCCCGAACTTATAGCTTGCATAAACATTATCTGCTAGCTCATTTGAGGATATGTTGCCTTCCATTGTTGTTCCGGCATGTTTGTGATAAAATTTATAGTTATTCAAATAAAAGGTCAGAGCAGGGATCTTTCAATTTGTGGTGACCCTTAGAAATCTTTATCCGATATTAATTGTACTGCGACGGACAAATTAAACAATTATCAATTATTGTCTGCCTGTGATCCTTGAATTTATGCAGTTATCATGGTGCACCAAAATGCCTGTCAGTATTGGTATTCATTCACTTTAATTAAAACACAGCTAAAGACCACCCTTTAAGATATACTGTGCTCAAATTTGATATTAGAAAATACTTTTAATTGCTACACAGTCTCTTTGTAAATATAAATCTTCACACAAAGTAAATATGTTATGTTTAAAATTCTTCACACAATATGAATATATAGCGTCATTAAAAAACTGGCAGGTTTTTGAAATGAGACCAACTTAACTTGACCTGTAATAGGGAGTTCAGCTTCCAGTACATTGTTTATTTATTCTTGTTTAAAATAAGTCATATATATCATGTATATTCAGTAAGAATTTCACTGATTTCAATAGTTTTCTGTGACAACAATATTTAACTTTAAGATGAGCATACTATATTTTTAATGTTTCATTTAGGAAAATAAAATTTACAGATACACCTCTTCGACCTTTAAGCCGCTACACACAATATTTTGTCTTTTTAACATATAGGCGGTCTATTGTTCAGAATAAACGGTAAATCTGCATTTAAAAAATGAATTATAATATCGACTATTAATATTATTTAAGAAACTACACAGATAAAAAAATCATAAGGTGACTTTTTGTCGGTGAAGTAGCTTCGTGTTCTTGAAGTTACTTGCAATCGCTTGAGTAGAACCAACGATTATACGTAAGCTGGCTGGAAAATTTTTGAAATGAAATTAAGGCACGTTGTTGATACGCGTGATGTTATTTTGACGTCACAGTGTATGCCATTAAAATCTCAACGTTGTAGATTTTTTCAATATTTTTAATGACATTGCTAATCCGTATGCTATTCATCACCCAGTCACAATCATGCTAAAATAGATTGTGCAAATGTTTAACCGCTTTAATTTGATCTAACACTTAAGACAATGCATGTTGACTGGTTAAAACCGGATCTGTCATTATTTTACCCGATTAAACGGTTTGATTTTAGTTTTGAAATCAACGGCATTCAGTTCTGTACAGACATTGGTAAAGATTATTTTCATTTATGTTAATTTATCGAGCTATCGGACATCTCTCTTTGGGTTTAAAATATCAGTGTAATATAAACAGTGTTTGACAATCTTTAAGAAAACATGGAACGCCTGATAACTGTCCGAGCGTTTATAACGTCATCGAATGTCAGAGAGAATAACTAATTGCCTGTTAAAACCTATTATCTGTATGTTGAATTGTCGGTGGGTTGCGAAATGAACAGGTTGGAAATAAAAGTAAAAATATAGGAACACAGTGAAAGGTACAAAATAGCGATAAATTCAATAAATAAGCATACTAAATTAAGTATGAACAACACATATATAATTATGCTGAATTTGGTAAATACTTTTATGTGTGAAATAATTATTTAAGTTTCATAATACAAGTTGCATTATAATAGTTATAAAATAACTTCAGTGTGTAACATCCAAAATAAAAAGACATTATGCATAATAATTTAATAATGAATAACAGAAATAAGTGTTTATTCCTTTGCAAGTCTGTAGTATAAAATTGATGCTTCATATCACTAGAAAGATTTTTCCCATTGATCGTTATGTTTTATAAATTATATAAAAAACGATGTTGATGGACATTTAATTATCTCTCCACGTATTGGATTGTCAGGGAGAGTTTGTTTTACTATTTAAAAAAAAAAAATTAAAATGAGCTTTAACAAAATCTATTTGAAATATTGTTTCATTTTTGTAAAAAATATTTAAAATAACTTATACAAAATATATTAAAAAAGCACATTATCCCAGTTGTTAAGTGATATACTCGTAAAATTCCTATACGTAAATACACACGGAAGAAATGGAGACTGTAAATGAGAAAAAAAAAGATAACAAAAAGGCGATGAGAATTGTGATATTTTTATGCTGTTATTCATTTTTATGGTAGTAGGGGAATGACCTAGATTATCTCCATCGATACTAGCGCTTACGTGCATAAACATCACACACAACAATGCAAATTAGTAAACAAGGAGAGTATCACAGTAAGATACGAATATGATAAACAAGAAGGCGCAACGGTCACGAAATGCAACCACACAATGTCAAGGTTGTAAGCAGATAGTTTAAAACTGAAATTCATGCCCATTTTCTTCAAACTCCTCCCTTTTACGTCAATAAAAACATATTCTTTTTTAATTTGATTTTTGTTTGGTAAGGAACAGCTTGTGAAAAAAGGACAATGTAAAATGTTTGGTTATAAGTTAAAAAATTGACTTATACTTTGCCACAAGTATAGTCTACAATATTATTTAGCTGTAAAGTCTAAAAGAAGGACGTCGGGTTACTGAATGTTTTAGAAACTGGATATGAAAGGTGAGCTTAACATTCCTTAGTTTCTTTGCCAAAATTATCTTATTGTAAAATATTGGAACATTTTGTTTAATTATGGCATGACGACATGAAACTGATTATTTGGAAACACAAAATCTTCATTAGGAAAAGAATGTATTGCCATATTGTGCATATTACTTTCACATTTCATAACAAACATTTACTTCTGTGAAAAAGTTTATTTGTTTTCTGCGATGTATGCTACGTATGGGATAGCTTGAAATAACAACATATACTTAATCAAAGATGAAGATAAAATTAAAGAGAAAGATGAAGATAAAATAAATAAGCTATTTCGGACAGCTCAGATACGTTTTGCTATTTGATAACAAATTCAGCCGATGACTTTTTCTGTGTGCTAATCATGCATTAAATTGAAAAGGCCAATTACCATTGTTTGAAATACTTTCAATTCCTCAAAACTATCACTTTAATTCGAACGCAAAAAATATCCACATTATTTTGAGTGTTTGTATAATTATATCAAACTCTAAAATATAATGCTACCTGCCAACGAATAAGTATTATTGATAATTGTAATTTGTTACATATTTACGTGCTTTACATAAAGCGACACGGTGTATTATAATTTTATTATCATGAATATTTTTTTATAACTTAACTATGTTTCACAAGCATCCAACGATACCGTTTATAATGTAGGCAGCTCGTCCATTGTGTTTTTCTTTCTCTTTTATTTCCTTTGTGATATAATATGATATTTAACAGTTATTAAAATGCCATTTGTATTTTCCAACTTTTTAAATAATATTCAGTATATTTGCATTTTGTGTCTGCATACCATCATGCTCGCGTTGTTTGATTTTTTTAAATATTTCTTTTAATACTACTTATACTATAGTCTCTTTTTACCTTTTACTATACTTAGTGTGCAATCATTTTTTATATTTTAGATCATTGGTACAAAGAACCATCAAGATGTTAATACAATTGTCAATTTTTCTATACTCCCTCTCAGCCATCGCCGGGTAAGTATCTCCATTAAGAATGAGTGAAAATCCGCCGGTAGATAAAAAAACATTTGTTTTTTCGAAATGTTTTAGACGGCACTCCGATAAATCACTTTTTAAGCTCAATATACTTTTCCCTAACCGTTACACTGAATAGTGGTATACATACTTCTAATGAATAAATCTTTGTGCAACATTTATAACATTGAATAATGATTCGCCTTATCATAATTTTCACGTACATACAATCTTAAATAATTATCCTCAATTAAGTAAAAACGCGTATATGAATGCATCAACCTATAATACAAAGTTTAATATGTCATGACAATTAAAGGTGACATTTTTCTCTAAATGACGGTTGAAGAAGGTGCAGAGTGAACATAATTCCTTTATTTATTTTTAGGACATATGTGGCATATTTTCCAAATTCACTGATACCTGGTATCCCGTTGAAAGTTCGAGTTCTGGTTCAAAACTCTCGAGGTCCAGTTTCAGTTCGCGCCGGTCTGAAATTCGCAAATAACGACTCAGTTGTTGCAGAAAATACTATCTCTGTGAATAGTGGTAAGTTCATATAATTTAAAAGAACATTTTATTAAGATCTCAGTGATAATAAATTGTTTATATAAATTTACTTTAACTATATTTTTTAAAAATGCAATTAAAGATACATCATTGTGTGATAATACGTGAAGAGTATTTATTGAAATTTGGTGTTATAATATAACAAATGTCAAAGCAGGACGTTTCTACGGTGTCCTATTTCGTCCACAAAATTTCCGCGTTAAATTGGTACTAAATTTTGCATGTGTTAAATTTCGCTGGTATTAAACGATAAGTACCGCTTTTTCTATAGACCAGGGACACTTTTACTACCATATATAAAATGATTAATAACTCAATTGAAATTATACACAATTGAAGAAATGAAAGCCACTTACCATTAAAAGTTGACGGAAAGGTCTGATAAAATCCATATATTTTGTGATTTTTTTATTTTACATTAAAGGCGATAATTAACGCGTGTTAATAATAAAATTTTGTGGACGAAATAGGACACCCGTACGATTCACCTTATTTAAAATGAATTGTTAGAAGAATTGTGAGCCGCGAGGTAGTTAAAATGAATGGTTACCGATTTCTATCCGCCTGGCGCCTGGCATAGTGGTAGGAATTGGGAGGTACATGGTATGCAACCAAAAGGTGTCTCATAAGTCAAAATGGCTGGCCCTTTCAGTAGGGGTGACACTATAATAAACAAGACCTTTACCTTTACCTTTTATATCTTTTATATTTTTACAGGAAATTTCACAACTCATCTACGCAAATCATCAAATAAATAATAATGCCATTCAACTTATTTCTGTAGATAAAATTGTCAAAGTCAATCACTTTTTCTCACGAGCGTTTATTCTCGGACTGAGATATAAGGTTCTGTGTCATAGCTATCAATGCAAGGCGTCATTACAAATATGTGATAAATAAAACAAATAAAAGTATTCTATTTACTTATCTATTAAACAAGTAATATACACTTTTAAATTATTTCTTAAGCTACAGTCTCACTTACATCCCGGCAGAGCCCCGGCAGAGCCCCGGTAGACGTCCGGGGTGATCCGGGAACGACCGGGGTACGACCGGGAACAACCGGAGTACATCCGTAACTCTGCCGGCAACGTCCTGGATGATCCGGGATGATCCGGGAACATCCGGCATTCGACCCCGGATGGAATAAAATATTTAATATCACCGGGGTGGTCCGGGATGATCCGGGAAGGTATAGCATTGCCGGCTTCATCCTTAGCTCTGCCGGGAACGACCGGGGTTATACCGGGGAAGCACCGTAGCTCTGCCGGCACAAACCGGGGAAGATCCGGGGAATGATATAGCCGGTAGAGCTACGGTAGAGCTACGGTAGAGCCCCGGAAAATGCCGGCAGAGCCCCGGCAACTACAGGCAGAGCCCCGGATGATAAACGTAGAGCTACGGTTGATCCCGGTAGAGCCCCGGCAAAGCCCGGATCATTTCAAAAGAATAACGACAATTTGCGATGATTGCACTTGCTGGTATTAAAACCCCTCCCAATTCCCTTCTATCCTGTATGGCATAAGGATTTTTCAGAAAATCGTCATGAAATACTATTCTGGAACAATAGATATTATATAAAATAAAAATTATGTATCAATATTATCATTTTCGGACGTTTTCAATCCACCGGGGTTCTACCGGGGCTCTGCCTGGATCGTCCTGGGCTCTACCGGGGCTCTGCTTGCATCGACCGGGGCTCTGCCTGGGTCAACCGGGGCTCTTCCGGCGTCATCCGGGAACGACCGGGGAAGCACCGGCATGAACCGTAGCTGCACCTGGGCTCTGCCTGGATGATCCGGAGCATATCCTGGGTGGTTAGTTGAGAACTACCGTAGTGCTGCCGGGGTAAGTGTGACCGCAACAATAATTTCACCCCGGATCGTCCCGGATCATCCCGGTAACTTACCGGGATGATCCTGGGCTCTGCCGGGAGTAAGTGAGACTGAGGCTTTAAAGATGTAATTATGTTGAGTCTTCTATAATCCTCCATCTAACTTAATTATTCTTGTATCATATGTTATCAACAAAATCATCACTATTGTAAGGCAAAAACATTTTTCGCACGTGACTAAAGACCGACATACAATTGCAAAAACGATGGGCTATTGTTTTCCTTATATCTTATAATTTCAGTGCAATACACTTATCATTTCCGATCTTTAGAATGAGAAATCATTCCGGTATGCAGAGATACGAATAAAGATTATGGTGGTCTTCTTTCAATTTAAATAAAAAATCGTCTATTTATCTTGCTACACACCTGTTTGTTTTGTACTTACTTTACTTCCTATTTGTTGAACAAGTCAAGCATTTTAGTGTGATACATGATCTATAATCTCAGTCGCAACTTTTCGGCCTTTCGACAGTCTTCGGATAAGGACCTCGAACACAATATTATGAATACACAGAACGGATACTGTTTTCCGGTCTTACCTACGCTAAGAAACTAAACATGTAAACAAAATAATAGTACAATATTGTGAGTTGTTGACAGGTTTTTTAACAATATATCAAGTAAAAGTCTGCCTAAAATAAGCAAATTCAAAGATATTAAAGTAAACAATACATTATGCTTCATACTTATTACTATAGTTGTAGAAACCGAACGTACAAAATGCCATCCAGTTGACGTTGATAAAGTATATCAAATGGGCATATTTAAATTAAGAATGGATGTCAGACATATTTTCAATCATAATTGTACAAACTTTGAAGATAGAAAGATAGACTATATTTTCCTTTAGATGTCAGTCATTTTACATTATCGAAAAAACACTCTCTGTTTCTGTTTACATCTGAAACCAAGTGTTTCCGAGGTTATTTATGATAATTTCTGATTATTGTCTGTAATATGTCATAACAAAAGTGAAAAAAATTAAAGAACAACTTTATGACGTTATTTAAAAAAAACATTTAAAGTTAATTTTACAATTACCTTATATCTTTATTGGTGTCCTTTATTTCTACAACTTTTCACAAGAAGCTCGTAATAAGCAAGATGTTATTAATTCATTAGAATTTCGTACATGTCAACAATTTCTGATTATCTTTTGCTCTCATATGAGTCATTCTTAAAATTGTTTTATTTAAAAATTATGTTTGCATGGGATCATTTTTATAAAAAGATTTATTTGATTCCGACACGATTGTTTACTATATAAATTTTCTTTCTTCCAGGAATGTATTCGACTATACCTATTAAAGTAAGATTAAATATTTATTCATATATTGTATAAGTAATTTACACTCAGAATACTTCCATAATTATGATATCGAAGACTAGTTGATTGTTTCCCAATGTTTTATCATAATGTTATTATTACTCGGAAAAACCTAACTTCTTCACAGATCACGAAAGTTCTATAAAGCTGTGATTAAAATATTAAAACTTCTGGCAATATAATAATTCACTTACATAATATTTAAGACCTTTTGCTTCTGCGATATTTTGATATTTTTACTTGTTGTTTCAATGCATACTAGTATTGTGTTGTTTATTTTTACTAAGTTTCCAAGTACATTGCTTCCCTCGAATTATCGAGCATTTATAACGGGGTCTGATGGATTGGTCTTCACAAACAGTTCAAGAATTCACTATAACGACAGGAGCTTGATGGTATTTATACAGACAGACAAAGTTCGTTATTCGGCAGGTCAGACAGGTTAGAATAGATATATCGTAATGTCTTGGCGTAAACCGATGCTGCATTCTATACTCTTACACCATCTTTAGATTACATTTATAGAAGCAACTTTAGACGGAAAATAGCAATAAATATAAGATAAAGGAATTTTCGATGTGTACAATAAAGTTGTACATTTGTTTTATTTTCTCTTAAAATTGGCTTAAGATACCAGTATTAAAATAATTTTTGTACATAATTTCAGTGAGATATCGGGCAGTATTTCTTCTTCCCAATCTTATGGGTTTCCAGGGAGAAGCGACCGTCATAATTCAGGTAAAAATATAATATCTGTTCATACATTGACACCTAGATATAAATTTATATTGTTCTGAGTGCTATATTGAAACATGAATGTCTCTTTGTGAAATTTTAGAAAGTTATATGTTCAATTAACAATTGACGTACTGTTTTAGTATTGCAAAAAGCTGTTTATTATGATATTTTTGATGAATCTTAATATATCAAAATTTATGTCAGAAATATTTGACTTATGCAATAGACTAAATAATACATTTAAATTATACAAAAAATATTTCATCATGCATTACAAGCCCAGGAAATGCACCACTATAGAAAATATATCTACATTGATACGCTACAAATAAATCTAATCTTTGATTAATAAAGTATACATTTTTGTGAGCCTTTCAAGCTTTAGATATAAATAGTTTATGTGTCGTTAAGGATGGACAGGAAAATAAAATCGAGACAAGAGGACCACATTTGGTTAAAAATGGGGTTATATCTGGAGAAATAGAGCTCAGCAAATACCCCGTGTTCGGGAACTGGACAATAGTCATTGATGTTATGGTAAATTTTAAATACATATCTTTAAATAATATGTTTGTAGAACATACATTTTATTAATTGAGTTACGCATCAGTAATTACTTATGTATGAGTGATCATTATGAATAATTTATAAATTGTGCTTAGAATGGTACATTATCAAGTGATCATAAACTAGCCGTCGCATGAAATTAAAACTTATTTAAATATATGAACATCAAATATATGACTCAAGCTTATTGTTTTGTATGTATACAAAGACAAAAGGGAACTGTTCTCAATCACAATTAATAAAATGAATTTATATTGTAGGGGAAAACGCATACACAGTATTTCGAAGTCAATGAATATGGTATGTGCTATTTATATTCAAGATACAACCCTTTTCATTTCACTTTTATTTTATTTTAAAATCTTTAAATGCATGACAAAGTTTTACTTAGAAAAATGTATGGATATACGGAAGTGTACGGAGTTCCGTATATCATTAATATTCGGGTAGAAAAACGGAAACTTGAAATACGGAGATGTACGGGACCGTATATTATGAAAGTCCGTATAAGACACAGTTTTCGGTACACTCAAATTTACGGGATTTGTTGTATGATTTAAAATATCTCGTTATTTGCATAAAAATATACAACACAAAATGGTTTTCTAGCTCAAGGCCTTTCCATTTGCTTTGGTTTATACAAATTTATTTTAGTTCGATTGTGTTGGAAGCTATAAGCTTATTGAAACACTCTCGAATCCGTTCCTGGAACCAACCAGTACTAAGCAATGAATGTAAAGTTTCTTGCTCAAGGAAACAACGGCTTGCCCCTGACAGGGTTTGAACCCACGCGGTTAGCAATCCTTAGATTACTAGTCCGACGCGTTAACCTCTCGCCCACACCGCCACCTAATTTGCTTTGTAGTCTATATTCGGTCTGTTTAACGCCCGCGGGCATTTATTTTAACAAATTTAGAATATCATTCATTCATTTATTTATCTATTTCATTTATTCATTCAGTTATTTCTTCATTTTTATTATTTTTTTGGGTCGTCAGACCAAACAAATAATGGTAACATTTCAAACCCTGATAATGCTTATTTGCAAAATCCACAAGAGGTCCGTCACGAACTCCTCGAAGTGGTTACTTCCCTTCATAAGTACACTTATGCCGAAAATATAAGGGGAGATCACTGCATAAAGATTGTCACATGACAGGCGCATTAATGTTCAAACCTTCTCAGAGAAGAAAATCATTTTGTTACGCGGATAAATATCATTTTAATCAATGAAAATTGCTCGGCTATTTCTGTAAAGCTTCGGATTATTATGATCGCCTAAATGAACATTTGTTATTTAGACTTTCTGAAAAATAAAGTAAGGATGTTGACTCCAGGACAGGGACGTCTTTAAGCAGTCGACGATCGATAATCAATTTCATCTTAATTCGACATAAATAAAGATTACAAACCCTAATTTATAATAATGTGGTTTACTTCAGGCTGTTTTCTTATAACTTCCCCCTTGGTCCAGGGGTTATACGCTCGTTTAGGAAGAAAACCAAAAATATTTTTAATTTGATATTATTTTTATGTATTTGTTAAGTTATATATTTTGTTTATACGTGCAGTCTTGCCGAGGTTTACCGTTACGTTGACAATACCTCCTATAGTAAATACATCACAAGCGTCTCTTACAATCGGTGTAAAGGCAAGGTATGCTGAATTTATTTTTGTAATTTATGAACGAATAGTGAAAATAATAAAATAATGCGTGATTTAACAGTTATACGAATGATCATTCCGTTTAACACTTATAGTGATAAATTAGTTTTGGAACAATTTTTACAGATACCTTACATTCTTTTAATTTGGACCTATTTTTCAGTTTTACATTCAAGACAGATGTTATTGGAAACTGCACTGTTTTACTGTATAATGAAGAGAAGCCTTCGAAGAACCTAAAGCTTTTAAATGATGTAACGTTGCTTTCTACACACTATATCTATATAGCTTACATTTCATTTATTTTTCAGATCTTAAATTTCTCTTTAACTCCATATTTTTATGTGATAAAAACATTGATTATTATGCCTTATTTACCTTTACATCAGCAATACTTTTTAGAAGAAACTTTGGAATTAAGTTTCTCTGGAACATTTTGAATTACTTTGTAAATATTTAACATCTATACATCCATTTTATATTTATCACAAATGTTATTCACTCTATCAATATTACATCATGAATATAATTTGGATTATAACAGATGGTAGATTTTTAATATCATTTTTAAAGATAAAAGGTACGACAGAGTTCACTATCCAGATGTCAAAGGTCACAAGGGAATTAGATATAAACTCAAATATTAAAGTCAGAGCTCTGGTAACCGATAATGCAACAGTACTAACAATGGTAGCCGAGCGAAGATTGAATATAGCTTCAAATAAACCACAGCCGATAACTTTAACAAACATTGATGCTTATAAAAATAGCTATTTACCTGGAATGACTTATCGTGCAAAGGTAATAAGAGGTCTTATAATGTTTCATCAAAATCACACTTCATAACATAACTATTTAGTTGTTATATAAATAAGAAAGGCAAAAGAAATAAAAGTATGCTCAATTATATTCTTATATTCATGATAACAATGCAGGTCTAAATATTTTGTCAATAAATATTTTTGTAAGAACCATTTATTAATTACTGTTTAACTCTTTATTCAAATAAATGACTTTTCACAATTTTTTCAGATTTTTGTTGGAAGAAATGGTAAATCACTAGGAAGAAGCGGCCGGCTGACAGTGACACCATCGGTTACTACGGCAACATTGAAATATTGTTCTCACAATAGTCCCACTTACAAATGGCTGAAAGTAAACACGGAACGCAAAAGGTCTTTTACTATAAATTTTGACGAGTCTGGATATGCTGACCTTGCATATTTGGATAACACTAAAAATGTAGAGAAAATATCATTTAAGGTTAGTTTATCATATGTTATCCTTAATTATTTTCTAGAATAGTCTGATGATAGATGTTGATAATCGGATGCTTGGCAAAATTGCTGTCTTGACTCGAGTCTGTTTATTATTTGTAGTGGTAAAAATATGTAACTGGCTAGGTCATGTATCAGCGAATGCAGACCTTCGCATTTACAGGGAAATAAAAACAACTTTCAAATTAGTCCTGGTCACTTGCTCCTTATAGCTAGCTGTATGTTCAATTCCCGGCAGGGATTTTATCATGTATGGAAGCTATCAAGGTGTAGCTATGACACGTTGGTGGTTCTGAATGTTCATCGTTCGTTTTATAATGCCTTTCTTGGAATTGTGTCACGTGATGTAGATAACCTAGTTTTAAATAAGATATTCTACTTAAGCCAGTGTTTCGGAGCATGTATCTATGAATGCGTCCACAACCAAAAGGAATCAAATTAAACTAAAGTAATTTTCAATTATGCCGTATTGAACAGCATTCATTTTTGTCTTCTAATCTTAAAGGTCGAATGATTAAGTAGTAAAATTATAACATGTCCTGGTATATGAGTATATGACATGCTGTCTTCTTCCTTCTTCAAGCCTGCATAAAACGATAATTGCAATATATGTGTACAATGTTATACATATTACTAATTTGAAAAGGCTATAACTTGAAACTATTTCTAACAAATATTATCTTTCAGATTATATTACAAGACACAAGTATTCAGCTAACTTCTGTTTCCGATTCATTTGATATTTATCCTCTTTCGGATAATAAACCGTTCCTACGGATGAATGTTAACAAGTTCAGAGCCAAGGTAATATTGAATAAAAATAGCTATTTTTTAATTTGGTTGACTCAAACTTGTTTCTTTATTTTAATTTCCCTAGAAACAACTAACAAGTTTATATCTTTAATTTTTGTTGATAATAATGGATTGGCACTTATTAATTCATTTAGTTATATTCAAGGCCGGCGAAAGCATTGTTATCGACGTAACTGCAACGGAAAATCTAAACGGAGCGTTGACATTTGAGGTAAGATTTCCATTTCAATTAAATTTTAGATAGAATTATTTTAATTAAAGATAAGGACACTTGATAACCATTTTTTCCTTTATATATATGTAAGTTAATTAATCAATAAAACAGCATTCGATAAATAATCATTTTATCATATGTTCTTGAAATTATGAAATACCTATTTTTCTTATATGGTTAAATTTAATTTCTTGAAAATGCACCACCGCAGGTGTATGCAAGGGGTATGCATCTTATATCAGAACGGGTAGTCATAAACAGTGCTTTAACAAAGACACATACTATGCAAGTAACAAAGGATATGATTCCAAGTGCGTTTATCATAGTCAATCATTTGACACAAACTGGTCATCTTATCGCCGACTATGTGTACATACAGGTTGAAGGAAATCCATTCAAAAATGAGGTACTTCTCTGTGCTTTTTGTTATTTATATTTCATTGTATATGTTCTTTTATTGAATTTATGTAGTTTAACCTCACTTTGCAAATGTAATTTGCTTTCTTGATATGTGATAAATTATACATATAAAATGTTTAATTGATTTTTATTTCAAAATTCAAATAACACTGCTAACGCAAACATTATCCTTATTTAGAATAAAGTATTCAATCTTTGTCTTTCACATATTTGTATTTGAAGACAAAGAACTTACTTGCTTTTTTAGGTAGAAATATCATTAAATGACACAAAAACACAGCCAGGGGAGACGGTAAACATGCATGCATCAGCCGACCCACATTCAACTATCTATGTCTTAGCAGAGGATCTCAGGAACCGTGTGTTTGGTGTTGACAACGACATATTTTGGACAGACGTTTGTTATTTTATCATGATTGTAAAATAAATTAGAAATTTTTAAAAGAATTAATTTAACAGTAAATCATTTCTTTTTAAAGAACACAATTTGAACTTGTACTATTTAACAGTACAGTACATAAACAATGCTATTAAATTATAGATTGTACGAGAGATTGTTGATGCGAGTCCTAGTATACCGCAAAATATTAGAAATCATGGAAACAGAAAAAAGGTACTGCATTTTGATCTTATTCTTAACGATGTAAAAGGACTTGATTAAACGACAAGCCACTGCTTTTACTAATAGTTTGTTTGTTTTGCGCATATCGGCACATTAACATATAATCGGCAATAGGTGCCGACCAGCATAATGATAAAGCTTAAAGCTGAATAGTCAATTTTTTGGAGACAAGTTTAATATATCAAAATTAATTCAAGAATACATATTTCATTATGTAATCGATCAGTTATTTGTGAATTTATTTTTGGCAAAAATTATAAAATGTACTTTGACAAGATTTGCTTACTAATAGTGGAACAATTAAACCATTCTGAATCTCATTGAATTGAACCTTGTTATCCTTTTTATATTTGTTAACTGATCATTTGATTTTATAACAGTTATTATAAGTTTGCGAATTAAGTTTTAACGATGCATTACTATCCGCGTTTCGGAAAACCCATCTCATTAACAAATTATTAAATTCTAATCATTTTCTTTTATAAAATTCAAAACTGTAACGTTACATGGACATGATTATTTCTACTTTATTCACCGTGTGTGTTCTTAAATTTAAATTGACATTATTTCCAGCGGGCTGAACAAATAAGACAGTTGGCTAAACGTTCATATGGGAATCTTGGAGATTTAGACGACAAATATATTGTATTTATCAAGCATTTATTATTGTATCTTTTTTTATTATTTTGCAAAATAATATCACATATTTTTCATGGTCTTAGGTATACCAAATCAGATAAGCTGTCTTCCCGATGTTTCCAATATAGTTAATGTTCAAGATGAATTGATTGAGTCAGTTTGTGGCATATCAGATTGGACAATCATTTACTTAACACTATGTCAGCATTTTTCTGAGGATAGAATCTATCTTTATCAGGACTACATGGTCTTAAAATGATACATTAATTTACTTTTAACTTTAATTGAAACATTACTCCTATGTAAGGATTTGTGTATCAAAAAAATTGTACATTACCAAGTAGTTTTTTTCTGTGCAAATAATCAACATAAATTGAGTTGAGTTATATTTTATTTCAAGGAAAGTGGATTGATAGTTCTTTCGGATGCAACTGTTTCCGAGAAAAAGCTAGATTTTCTTACTTCAAAAGGGTATAAACAAGAATGTACTCGACGTGTATATCAAGGTGAGAAATTTTATTTTATGGACGTTTTCTGGAGTTTTCATATAGACATATAGGCAAAATTAAAAATGTTCAATAGAATTTCTTTAAACTTGGCATGCTGTTAGAATATGATAAAAGAACCATTTTAAACGAAAAAAATGGGGTCACCGTTCTCATGTTCGAGTTATCTGCCACGAAAACGTCCTTTATCGTTGTGTGTGTGTCATTCATTAACAGAGTTGATAAACGAGATCACTGCAAGCATAAACAATAGAATGAGTAACATGTTTTGTGATAACAAAAACTTATTATTTCCGAACACTGTACTTCCCTTTAAACCAATATATTTCAAAAATATATTCGATATACAATTCAAATTAGCATTTTTGCAATTTATACAGAATATCCATATATTTATCATTTTGCTTCAGGAGGATTGTTTTCATGGGGCGTTCATGGTAACGATTTTATTAATGTTTTTCATTCAATATATTTTTAGATTATATCTTTTTCTTAGGATGTTTCATGACACAATATTCAATACTGAAAGACAATTTTATATAATTTCTTTTCTTTTGAGTTTTACTCTCTGTATTTACCACGGTTTTCGACTTATTTCGTCCTAATAACATATGTATTTTATCGTTTCAGTTTTGAATGTTTGAAATGTTTAAAACATTGCATTACCATGTAATTAAGTTATTGTTTGCAATTAAACGTTTGCCAAAAAACAGTATACTGGCTTCAATTGCATATTTTAATAAATACTTTTTATAAGCAAACTGTGATCGATTTCGTATTTTGAGAAAGTTGTGTAACTTGTAGCTCATATTATAATGTCAAACGATCAAAATTATCCGGGGAATGCATGATTTAATTTGAAGAACTTTAAAAAAGATATATATATATTGAAAAAAGGGTATAAATTAAACATTTTCTTTGGTGTCTACATATTAATATCGTCATTTTTCGACTCGTCATTAAAACAAAGTACATACGTACGGTAAAGTCGAATCAGCTGAAATTGACATTGAATTGGAAGGTGTTGGATTTGGATTTCTAAACATCAAATAATTGTTTACAATTTTAACTTCTGTAAACACTTCATAAAGAGAAAATACGTATATGTAAAATTTGTCTACGCATGTGCACACATTATCATATATATTTGTTGTTTAGGGCTTTTTAATTTTTTAACATATTTTAAGAGGTTTACATGTTCTTATGTTTAGAAAGACTTCATTTGCTATTGAGCATATAAATGACATTTTGGATTATTTTGTTTCAGCTTCCAGTTCTTCTTCGAACAATTTTGCTCTTCAAGGTAACAATTAAATAGATACAAAATGTTTTACGAAAATAAATATTCTATTTTTCATCACGTTTTATGCTACAATAGTCAATACTTCAAGTTATTGTATATTTTTTCGTTTGTTTAAGTGTCTAATTAGTCTGTTTTTACCACGGTTTTGAGTAATTGCATCCAAAAAATGTCTTTTTTTTTTAATAACTTTTTTGCAAGATTAGATGTTCAAAGTTTTGAATATTGAAAATTGTATAAATGCTTTTTAACGTTCCAATAATCCAAAGTTCTATTGTTAAAATCAATCGCATTTTTGCAATATAAAATATTGAACTATGATCCATTATATATAATATATATATGTGTTTTGGAAGGGAGCTGATCAGTTATAACAAACGTTATTATCTGCTATTGTGATTTTTTTACATCAGCTAAATTAAGCACAGACACAGCTTCCTCTGCATGAGTGATGGTTAGTTAATATGATATAGAAACTTTCAAAATTCTCCCTACCAGTGCATGGATTTTGCGATTGTAAAGAAAGATTCCTACCTACCGATCCATTGATTTTTTTTAATGATTTTACCCAAACAAACCTTGTCTAGGCCTTAGTTGTTATTATGTTCATGTTTGTTACGTTAAGAAAGATTTCACCTGTTGATGATTTGATAATGGACAGTTTGAATTACTATATTTCAGGTTCCATTCCTTCTACGAACGAGTTTAGTCGTCAAGGTAACGATTTTTTTCATTATTTCATACAACATATGTTTCGATTTTATCCTAATTCTTACATGATGTTTTATGCTACTATTTTCAATACATTAAGACATTGTTATATCCTTTCTTTTGTTTTGAGTTTTATTCTTGTATTTTACCACAGTTTTGAGTATTGTCATCCTAAAATATTTTATTGTTTAGTTTCCAGCTTTGGGCGTTTAAAATGCCCAAAACAACAAATTACTTAGCTATTTAGTTAACTGTTCTTTAACGTTGTCAAAATATAAATTAGTATAATTTTAGTTTTTTCTCAAAAAATTGCATTGAAGCAGATACTGTTTAGCATAAAGGGGTTGGGATCCATTTCATATTTTGATAAATCTTTGTAACTGTAACTTGTAGTTCATATTGGCAAACAATCAGAATAATCCGAGAAATGTATGATTTAATTTGAAGATCTATTCACTATAATACATAATTGAATCAGAGTAAAAAATACGATAAGAACTTGTTCGTCGATTATCGTCCTGACCAGCTGAAATTGAACAACATTTACTTTGCAGGAGGTGGATTAGGATTTCTCAATATTTTTCCAAAAGGTGAGCAAATAGCTAAATCAAGAAGAGTTAATGAAACTGAAATGTTAAAATATCAGAAATATGTCGACCTATCAGGTCTTTAAATTTTAAAACATAATATGTGTCACAAGTTTGTTTTATCTGCATAACCATTAAGCAAAGTAAATACCATTCATTCTTTGCTATAGTAAAAAGAGCTAGGTATCAAAATGATTAAATATTCAAATTCAAACTATCATTTGTTGATCTTTACCGTATGCTTTTGTAATTGCACGTTTCAAAACTTCTCTATTTCTTCAATATCATTTTGCTTGTTAAAGCTCTTTTTATAAACATTAAGTTCAAGTTACTTTAGTATATTTTGTCACCAAACATTCAATTGTCGTTATATTATTTCTGTGAAACATTTTCAGCGCAGAAGTGACATTTATATAATAATCTGACTTTTGCCATGTCTTTTTGAAAAAGAAAATTTTATAAAAATTTTTGATGAAGCAAAGGCCCCGGTAAATTTAATTTTGTGTATATTAAAAAAGAAAAGTCCCTTCCTTTTTCATAGCTAATTTTAAAACACAAAGGGTTGTATATCTAATTTCACAATAAAAATATCAATGGCAGTCCAGGTATAACAGTTAAAATCGTATCTAAACTGCTACCCGGAAAAATAATTTTCTTTTTTTAATTCAAATTGTTTTTTTTTAAAAGGGGGTTTTGGTGCTTTTAAAAAAATAAAAAAGATAACATTTTTTCAAATTTCAAAACGTATATGCAAAATCCTCAAATTTTTACTGTTTTCTTTTAATTTTAAAAATTCGGTTCAAAATTGGTTTTTAGTTCAAAAATTTTTTAAGAAAACGTGTTAAATTTTGAATAACTACTTTTTATCTTTTAAAAACTCTAAATTTTTAAAACATTGTTCTCCCAAAAAATTTTTTTAATTCGTTTCGTAAAAAAATTCGGGAACTCTAGTAAAAAAGAAAATTTCTCTAATGTTTTACAAATTGATTTTCGGGCTGAAATGGGGTTTTTAAGTTTGTGCCCCGCTGTTTTCATTTTTTATCTTGCGCCCAACCCCAGCTTGGAAATGCAATTCTTAATTTGGTGTTTTTGATAATATCCAAATACGGCTGAAATATATATTTATTATATATAGATATTTGGGTTCAAATTTCAGTTTTACATATGATATATGTACATTTCATTTGTATAAACAGCGAAACGAAAACTGTATAGCATGATTTATCTAAATTTTTCATGCTCTTACAATACGATAACAAAAACTGTTTTCGTGGAATAAAACGGAAGGTGGCACCGACCTTATTACCGAGTTCAAAATGTATGTAATACAAAGTTGAAATTTATTTAAATAAAATTATGTAGTCTCAATTAACTATATGCTTTTATGATATATGCGCCTTTAACTTTCTTTTGATGTGTAAAAATGAAATTTGAACCCAACTTCGACTAGACCTACACTAATCCTTGCTAACACTTGAATCCTAACATTTATGTGATATTTTAGATAACAAGAGGTGTCACAAAATGTGAACGAAACAAATTGCTTTTTAAATTATCTGAACTGGCTCAGAGTGAGGTTTAAGGATCGTTGAATGTCTAATTTGGTTAGAATGATTATCACAGTAATTGCTCGGTCGAGTTCAGACATTTGTCATTTCGAATGAAAAAAAAAAGAAAGCATGTGCCGAAAATAGGAAAATCTTGTTACTTTATTTGCCTTTGTTCCGGTTCAGATATCCAGGAAAACTTTCAGAAAGATTGTTGTGATGATATCTAAGTCAAGCTTGAAGTTGGGTCACCTGCGGCATACAGCTCAAATATTTTAACACCTATTTAACATATAAGAGGTTTCTATCTCGGTCCAATTATAATTGGCACGGAGTGTTTAGTAGAGGTCATCCGGGGTCAAAAAAAGGTTCACAAAGCCCAAATAGAGCAAACACATTTTTAACACTCTAGAGGCAACTGTTTAAATCCATGGTTGAATATGGGTCACTTGGGATCAAAATCTAAATATGGGAAAATAAAGCTTGCTAACACTCCAGAGGTGACATGTTTAGCTCAATAATCTTGAAATAGGTCAGACAGGTTGTTTAAATGTTTTAAAGTCCAATTTTTATATGGGTCATCTTTGGGGTAAATAACAGGGTCACACAGCCCAAATATGGAATAAACCACTTGTTAACATTCTAGAGGTAACATTATCAGCCTAACATCCTTGAAATTTGTCAGAAAGGTTCTTAAGATACTTTCTAGGTCAAGTTTAAGTATGGGTCATCATCGGTCATAAACTAGGTCACAAAGCCTAAATATGGACAAAAAAAACAAACAACAAAAAAAAAACAAAAAAACATTTTTATACCCTGCAGGTTTCAGTTCTAGCGTACTAGTATGTATCCATACTATGTAGTTGATTTCTAGATTAGGGTCGAATATAAATCATCTGAATTTTGTTACTAGGTCGAAAAGCCCAAAATACTTATGAACACGTTACAATCAACATTTTCTGTCTATCATTGAAATTAATTTCTAGGTCAATTTTGAATATTGGTCACATAGGGTCAAATACTATGTATAACAGAGATAAAATATGGAAAAACAACGTATTGACATTTAGAGTAAACATTTTCAGCCCAATTATCCTGGAAATTGTACAAAAAGGTTTTTTAATAATTCCCGGAAATTGGTAAAAAAGTTTTTTAGAAAATTTCTGTGTCATCTTCGAATATAGTCAAACTTATGGTAAGCAGCACATAATTGACAGAAAATGTTAACACCCTAAAGCCGAAATGACCTGAAAATTTATCATTTTGTTTACTTAAGCTGATATTTGAGTATATATCTTCTGGGGGCAACAAACTAGGTCACACAGCTCAAACTGAAAAAATCATTGATAACACTCTAGAGGTTACAGTTTCAATCTTTGAGAAAGATGATTTGTAGATCAGGTATGAATATGTAACATCTATGTTCAAAATCTAGGTCTCTAAACAAAATAATAATAAAAAAACCCGTGTTAACACTCTAACGGGTGCAGTTGTATTTTCAACATTCTAGAAATTTTTCAGAAAACACTGATTAGATTATTTCCAGATCAAAACTAGGTCACAAAACCTGTATCTAAAATATTTTTATAAAAATAAATCCAGATAACATTCTTGAGGCATCTTTTCCCAATCACATGCCCTGGACATCTGCCAAAAAGACTTTTTTCTTGATTTCGAGCATAATTTTGAAAATTGGTAATATCTCAATGAAAGATTAGGCCCCAAAGTTTAAAGATCCTGTAACACAAGTTATTATGGTTTAATATCATAAATATGATGCTCAATTTAAGATTTGTCAATTGTGTAAGTTCCAAAAATCATTATTATGAAAGATATTAACGAATTTAACACTTCATGTAATTCAAGGGAGATAATAAAATAATTCAATTTCTATAAACACTAAGCCAAATTGTTCAATAAGAAATGAATGCATGTAATTTAATGATTACATATAATATGTACACATATTTGCAGTACATATTTTACATATTCTTCGAGGTTTGAAAATTGTTTTATAAGCAAAATTATATACATATTATATATATTTACATTTAAATGTGGTATACAACTTTAATAAATAAAAGATTAAAAAAAAAACAACTTTAATTTAAACAAACAGTTTCTTTAGAAATGAAACATTCTTGTTGACTCTCTAAACGTATTAGATAGGACTGATTTTAAGAATTTGGCCCCCTATAAGATGCTAGAGGCATTTTATAGTACAAGTGGTATCTTGTTATATTTAACCTATTTAAGGTATGCTGAATCTGATTAAGGTGGATACCAAGCTGAAAAACTTGATTTTGAACTTTGAAATGGCCATTTAAAGTGACCACCAAAATGGCTGCCAAATATCTTTATCATAAGTGGATGATACATCAAATAAAACTTTTAAGGAAAAGCCTGAAATTTTGTCACATAGCATGTTAAGGTAAAAATAAATTAGACACCAAAACAGAATTTAAAAAAGCCAATCCAATATGGCCGAAAAAACCAAGATGGCGGACATTTTCTTAAAACCAATAAGGGAACCACCGAATTTTCTTTATCACAAAAGGATGATATATCAAATAAAACTTGTAAAGAAAGGAAAAGCCTGAAATTTTGTCACAAAGCATGTTAAGGTAAAAACAATTTAGACACCAAAACAGACCACTACACTCTTCCCTGCCCTATCTGCTAAATATAGAGCTTTCAAGTATTCATCTGGCACACTGTGCAAGCATATAGAGTGGCTACTCAGATTCCTACTTATATTTCCACATCACTTTATTATAGAGTGGCTACTCAGATTCCTACTTATATTTCCACATCACTATATTATAGAGTGGCTACTCAGATTCCTACTTATATTTCCACATCACTATATTAT